AATACCTTCCGACCGAGCGGAAACAGCTTCCACCGGCGGGCCTCATATCCAAAGACATGTGTTTCCCCGTTTTTTCGCTTGCAACCCAGCCTCGAAGGGATTGCTTAACCCGCTTTTTCGCTAAAAGGGACACAGGCGAGCCGAGCTTTAGCCCCCAACGGATGCCAGGGCGACTTTTTCAGCCTGCAACAGGCCGTACAAATACCATCCGACCGAGCGGGGGAAGCCTCCACCAGCGGGCCTCGTATCCATAGACGTCTGCTTCCCCGTGTTTTCGCTTGCAACCCAGTCTCGAAGGGATTGCTTAACCCGCTTTTTCGCTAAAAGGGACACAGTTGAGCCGAGCTTTAGCCCCCAACTGATGCCAGGGCGACTCTTCCCGCAGTTCATACATTCTACGGCCGATTTCTCTTAAGATCAAACAGGGAATGCTAGCACACGCTGGTTTGTTCTACTTGGGTAAAGGTGATCATGTCATGTGTAGATAGATGTTTGTATCCTAGTCTCTAATTTTCATATGAAACGAGCGATTAAATGAGCACATTTCACGTCTCATACTGATCACACCATTCAATCCTACGGATTCTCTTGTGAAAATTAAACTTCTCGGAAGCATAGTGGAGAGAATTATGGGTCATAAAATCCTCTAATTATCTCCACAGCGCTCCACACGAGTTATGGAACTAGCCTCTATGCGCGGTAGCCGACGTATTGCTGTAGGTTGAGATCGGCGGCATGTTAGCCCCTTCATTGCACTGGAATACAACCCTACCTACAGCGTGGCCATAGTGGTTGGTTTCTCATTCCTTGTCATGGCGTGAGCCACTCGGTTATGTGCGTGCCTTGTGTTATAGAATAAGAGCAATTTTATTCGTAACTAATTTTGATTCATTTTCTCATCACTCTCATATCTATACCATTGAAATTCCGCCAAGACTTGCCACTATCAAATCATATTGTTTTTTTCGTTATTATCTTTCGCGACAGTGCTTCCCCAGGCAAGAGAAATAAAAAATCTCCAAACGGCTCATGTTACCCTCGAGGCTCTTGTTAGACGCACTGACGGTATCAATCGCCGGAATAGAATTAAAAACTTGGAAAAAATAAAAGCCAAAAAACACCATTCGAAAACAACGGTTCGTGTAGGTTCGGGTCGAAATTGAGCTTTTACTAATCCTCTTACCAGAGGCGGACTGGGTACAAAATCGTTGGTTGCGCGAAGATAGCGCAAAGGCCCCAGAGGGGGGTCCGGAAAATTTTTTTTTAATAAGATCCCCTCCCAAATCAAATTTTAGTTTATGGAAGTCGACACTTTGCCTGTATTCGCGATGAAAATGGGCTCATTTCACGTCTCATACTGATCACACCATTCAATCCTACAGATTCTCTTGTGAAAATTAAACTTCTCGGAAGCATAGTGGAGAGAATTATGGGTCATAAAATCCTCATTTTACGTGAATACATCACAAATGGACCACGTTTTGCAATTCGAAACTACAGTTCCTGGCGCATCCATAAAAGCATCTATTTACCATTTGCCACCGCACTAGTGGCATNGACGTATTGCTGTAGGTTGAGATCGGCGGCATGTTAGCCCCTTCATTGCACTGGAATACAACCCTACCTACAGCGTGGCCATAGTGGTTGGTTTCTCATTCCTTGTCATGGCGTGAGCCACTCGGTTATGTGCGTGCCTTGTGTTATAGAATAAGAGCAATTTTATTCGTAACTAATTTTGATTCATTTTCTCATCACTCTCATATCTATACCATTGAAATTCCGCATGTTGTCTCTAGAATGAGCCAGAAATAGCAGTTCCTAATGATTGAAAAATGCAGTCCAGTGGCGTGGCGTGCTTTACGATATATCGATTGATTCGCCATTCAAACCTATGAAAAAAGATCGATTATCAGGGCGTTCGCAGCGAACACCTTAGTAATCTATTCTTTACCATAGCTTCAAATGCCGATATATCGATAATCGATGCTTCACGCCACGCCACTGATGCAGTCCAAATAATTTTGACAGTAGGTCCACAGTAGGACTACATAATATAGAAATTAGGAACTACAATCTCTAGCTCGCTTTAGGAACACGTATGTGCCACTAGTTTTCCTATGCATAGGAGTGTTTTTACGAATGAACCAGATACTGCAATGCCTAATCCTATTTATTGCAAAATGCAGTCCAGTATCCAGTTGCAATACAATGCTACCATGCTAGGGAAGAACGCTGTATGAAAATTCGAGAAATGCCAAATTTCCGCGGATGAAGCACATATTTTTAAGAAAGCTGTGCATATTTTCCTTCGAAATTTCCAGATATTTTAGATAAAACTGCGAATAAAATTGTTTGAAAAATTACAAGAAAAATATTCAAAATTTTCCCAGTCAATTAGTTTTTTAATGAAGGAAATATGACAACATCTGATGGCTCGTGCGACGTCCTTTCTCAGCAAGGCAGAATTGCAGCTTGAAAAATGGACAGAGTTTAACAGAAAGGCACTGTTTGTCTATTCTTGCAAGTTTGTACTGATGAGATGAAAGTTAAAATGAGTGGAAGTTTCATACCTCCATGACACAAGTTTCATGGCCTTTAACGACTGATTTTCCGTTCGCAATATTTTGTTTTAATTCTACTTATAGACAAGCAAAAAATTTACGACTAGTGGACCACCATGTTTCCGTGGTAAGGAAAAGCGCCGTATGGATATTCGAGAGTTGCCCAATTTCCTTCAATAAAATTTTTGTTTTTAGGATGCGTTATGAATATGTTATTTTGAAATTTTCAGATAATTTAGATCTGATCGCGAGTCAAATTCTCTGAAAAATTAGAGAGAAAATATTTACAAACCCTGATGAGATTTTGTACAGTATTGGAAGAAATTTGGCAATGTCTGAAAGCTCATAGGGCGTTCATTCTTAGCACGGCAGTATGATGTCACCAAGTTGTGGTTGTTTGCCCTACACTCCCCCCCCCCCCANCAACGTAACTTAGTAAGTTATGAACTTAGTCCAGATAAAACACTAAAAATATCCGCATATGTGTATTAAAAATTTCTGTCACAGGATTTCGATTTAGGACCAATGTGCGGCGCACTACGAGGCGCGTGCACATTTCAATATTCACACAATATTTGAAATCAACGCAACGTGATCGAAACCAGTTTTCGCATTCGAATGGACGACGATTTGAGTGGATTTCAACTCGTGGACCGGCCAGCATCGGTGAAAAATTACAGAGGGGGTCACAAGAGCTGGATGGCTTCTTCTCATGGACTGCCCGCAGGCTTGTTTACTTTAGCTGCGTCGTTGTGCAAATGTTGCACCTCGTCAACTCCTTCATGATCAGTGGTAGTTTCGCACTCGCAAAAAGTTACGGTCAGTAGTGAGGCTTTTGCTTTGACATGCGGTGAATCTTTGTTTTGAGGTATTACTTAAAGGTAGGAGTCAATATTTACAAGTACTTTGCATAAAAATGAAGGCGTGTTGCTTGAATCGTTATGCTCCTTTAATGTCTCGTTAACCAAATACTCATACTGCGCATCGAGAAGGAAGAATGTCGTAATAACATTCAAATGTTGCCAAATTTCCTCTCAGAAAATATTTATTTTTGAAGAAAATTATGGATATTTTTCCTTGAAATTTCCAGAATTTATACATCAATTTGCGAACGATATCCCCTTAAAAATTTGAAGCTTAATATTCCCAAATGTTTTTAAAAATTCGTGATTTGTCTAAGAAAATTTGGCAACGTCTGATGGTCCATACGGCGTTCTCCTATAGCACAGCAAAATAGGACTGTGAAGATTGACGTCTTAAGTGCTAATTTTGAACAAAAACTTAACCCCTCTTATCAATTTATGCAATATTAACGGAATTTTTGAGTGTTTCGGTCGCAGTCGAAAGCATGATTTAAAGATGTACCTCAACTTCCTAACAAATTAACTGGTTTACACATAAAATATGTAAATGAATAAATAGCAACAGTAAAAGAGCATAAGCTTTGATGGCACCAAAGCAACTAGTGGCTGCAAGACACCAAGGGGTAAGAGGTAAGTTCTGTCACTTATATTTGGATAACGTAGGAAATAAAAAAATCATGTCATACTCAATGATATAAAATCTTGGTAAAAATGATATAAAAAATGGTTTTTGGTGACTTGTGTAATTTTTCCTCTCAGAGAGTTGAAAAATTCAGAAATCTATAAGAAAAACGTGCTAAACTTTAAAAACCTTCAAAGTTCGACTATGTGCCAGGGTACTTTAGAAAATATCTGCTTTGATCGTCAGTCCTTAACATGACTATCTTCGATGAATAATAATCCGTCAACAACTCCATTCCGATAAATGTGATCATTACGAAGGATATACTGAATAGTATCGCAATGTTTAGAATGTGAACTAGTGTACATAGTGAAGTAGCCTAAATAAAAGTTCCTAAATCCACCGTACGTCCTTTCTATACTAAAAAATTTCTAGTTTGATAAACATGGGCGGATCTAGACACCACCCGCTACCGGGGGGGGGGGGGTAAATTTTTCAATTTTTTTATCGATTTTGCGCAGTTTGAGTCAACTGTGTCATGATTAATTGCCAAATATAAGCGTCTTTTCTTTTCTTCTTCTTCCCTCCGTTCCTTCCTTTTTTATTCCTTCTCTTTTCCTTCCTCCTTTTCTGGGCGAACGGGGGAAGAGGAGGGGCGCGCCCCTTACGCCCCCCTCCTTAAATCCGCCTATGGTGACAACACCGCGGCTAACCGCGCAAAACTCCAATCTGTGCGTACCGTGTCAATAAGTAAACACAGCTCTTAAAAGCTCCGGCGTTCACGGCGACAGGAACTGAGAGTGAATGTCACCCGAAAAAATGTTTAGCCGATAAACAGAAAACAGATAACAGATAACAGGCGCGAGGGAACAGATAGCCGAGACATGTCATAAATGGCGCTCGGTAGCTGGTGATTTCGCGATCGGAAAAAGTGTCAAAAACCACTCGATGGCGGGGTGAGAAGGGACGGGGACTTAATTGGTTCGGAAATCGATTTATCACTCGTTTATCGCACCTCGTGCAATCACACCCGAGTACAAATCAGTTTCCGCCGTGATGGAGATAAGTATTCTGGATCTTCGATCTATGGTTTCGTTTCAGTACGCCTTCGTCGATCTCATAAGTCTTTCGTGACTTCTCAACGATAACTCTAAGTGGCGGCTCGGGTGCGAACAACCCTAACATCACTGACACCCCTCCCTCCCTTAAAAAAACCCTTGTTTTCTTAATCGGATATTTTTTTTATTTAACATTATCGATGACGGTTAAATTTAACAAAAATGTAATCTTGATAGTTCCCATTGGCGTGCAATCGACTCAATTTTGGACTAACTGAATTTTTTACCGGAGAAAAAGGTAATGTGCAATTTTAACGTTTTAAAAATTCTCCAAGAGATTTCAGAGAGCGATTTTGATTGAAAATAGAGCTTTGTTTAACGGAATCGAACCAAGCAACATCTTGATCAGACCGACAAGTTGCGGTTTGAAGTTATGTATTCCTCCTTACCACTTAGTGTTCGACTTAGTGTTCGAGAAAAAGTACAACTTCTACATTTACATTATACCTGTTTGTCAGCGATTTTGAATTTTTGATAATGTGCGGCTAGTTAAGCGTAGAATAATTCGTCATTCGATTTGTCTAAACTTTCTGACTTTTTGACTTGTTTCATTACTATTCGATTCGGTCAAATTACAATGGAAACAAACTAGTCGACAAAAAGAGGGCATGGGAGTTATGTACAGTGGCATTTCGCCATCAATTCCTATGATAGGCCAGAACATATACGTCATGCAGCATTGGAGTTTGAATGAGGATTTGGACTACATTTTGCAATTAAAAACAACAAAATCTGGCTCATCTTTAAAAACACTCATGTGGATAGGGAAACCAATGGTGCATGCGTTGTTTTTAAGCTGTGCCAGAAATTGTGTCTCCTAATTGCACAATGTAGTCTATTTGTGTCTTTTTGTTGGCGACAAAGCTTGCCCCGTTGTAAATTTTCGGAAACTACTGTAGATGGTTTTGATATTTAGCTCTGTTTTCCTTTAAATGTAAATCTCTGTGGTTGATATTCAACATGTATCATAGAGAGAATAAACAATTTACTCTTAAATTTCCTCCAGAGCTGTGTTTTCCTTGCGTAGGAGAAATTGCCATCGAGATTTTTGCGTCAAAAGTGATGATGTCGCCCCCACAGTGTAGGATTACAATTCATAAATCAATAGTAAAACGCATTAGAGCCTAATTAGTGACGTTGCGGAGTCCTGTTCACATCTTCCTTACTTCAAAAAAAAAAAAGTAATGCTCCTCCTGGAGATTCAACTGATTTCCCCTCATTACACACGGAATCTTCGGGTAATTTTTCGAACAATATCGTTTATTGACTTTCCGTAAAAAGAGCAAAGATTTCGAACTGTCAGTCAATAATTGCTTGCGTTTTCAAACATCCTCCAAGAATGACGAATATGTTGCGCGAGCTAAAATAATTACACCCATGCCATAGTTACACCTATACCCTTTGGTTGAAAAAATATCGGCGGCGTAGATTCGAGTGAAATATACTTTCAATTACTGACAGTCACTTCTTCGTCGAAAGGTTTTCAGACATTTTTCTGAGCTGAGGCAAAGACCTCTCGTTCTCCTTTCAAAAAAAAATAAAAAATAAAAAATTAAAAAAAATTCAGCTAATTTTTATTTTACCGTCACTTGACCATTTCTTTCACTGCATGTTAACCTTGTATCCTGTATACTGACTTGCTTGCTCTGATAAAATCGCACTTAGAAATAATAAAAAAATACCTTGGTTTTGTATCGTGAAACACTTGAATTGAAATGTATGAGCCGCACTAGCTCTTCCTTGATGCTTGCCAGCATCAATGCTATCGAGTGAAAAAAAATCGGGGGAGATAGGTAAAAGACACTCCTTAGTCTCAGAATAAAATTGTGAATATCTGCGCTCTCCGCACTTCAGAAAGAGAGGTAGAATGATTGACAGGGGTAAATACGTTCGAGCTCGAGCGATAGCAAGATGAGCGCATCGAGATGAGATGTCACATACCGAAGTCATTATTCCCCTGCATTATTCTCAATTTTCCGCCAGTGAAGCGAGTGCGAAATGAAAAAATAATTACGGTAAAATTACTTTTAAGGACCCAAAAACGTATGCAGAGGTGCAGCTAGATACTTTTCAGGGATAACTATCAAAAATATACAATTGGAGAGGGGTCGGAATATTTAAAAAAAAACTTTTTTTAAAAAGTTATTTGAGATCTTTAATCCATTTGAGGATTCTGCAAACTTGAATAAGCATCGGGTTAGGGTTTGTGCACATCCATGCTCCGGACTTTCAAATTTTCAGGGATTAAGGCCTAGTGGAATCTGTTTCTGCAGATTCACTCGTCAGTTCCGTGAAAATTTGTCGCCACCACCGGGATTCGAACCCGACGTTCGATTCCCGGATTCAGACGCGGTGACCACTAGGTCAACCTGGCTGGCCATAAAAAAAAAAAAAAAAAAAAAAAAAAAAAAAACCCTTATAATCGGAGAAAATTGTATGTTTGTAATGTAAATGTATAGTTTTATTTGTTTGGTAGAGGGGGCTAGGTCACAGTGGGTAGGGTCAGGATTCTTACCCTCAGACTTTAAGTCTCTACATTTGTATAGATGTTGCCGCTTGTTGCTCTACTTCATAGAGATTTTCCCAGTTTAGATTTCCGAGATAACCTAGAATAAAAATCTAGGGAGTCAGAGAGAGAGCTTTGAGTATCGATGGAAAAGAATGCCGCGATAAAATCTTAATCCAGCGATAGCAGAGAATAAAAATCTGGGGAGTCGGAGAGAGCTTTAAGTATCGATGGAAAAGAATGCTGCAATAAAATTTTAATCCGGTGATGTTCGCTCAGAAGAATGCCGTAATAAAATTTTAATCCAGTGATGTTCGCTCGTTCATGCAGGCACGTGGCTCGTGTATATACGACTGAATGCACAACCAGTTGAAATGCCTTGCAATTAGGTATTAAGCTCTGATAAAGTCCCCGGTGCAAAGTAAGCTCTTGAAGAACCTCCGCTGTTCCCGCAGAGGGTCTCTTAATCCGGTTGATTCGATAAAGCTGAGCTTTATACGAGCTGTAATTGATCACAAGGGCGTAAACTTTCCTGACCAGCGCAAAATTTTTCCATACAAAGCTTCGGAAACGTCGGCAGATGACCGTCACACTATCCAACACTTCGTTGTCTCAGAGCTGTAACTGCAATATTCGAAATCAGTAGTTTTTTTACCTATCTCTTAATTTTAGACGGTTGAAAAATTTCACGGAAAATTCTATAAATTTTGTCAATTTTTTCGTAGTAATCATTTTGAAAATGAAATGACAGCGTTAATTTGTAACGTTTTTGCGTTAATTTGGATGAACTGTTATGCATTTGAATGATAAAGAATTTTATCCCAAGTGCTGTTAACTCAGGTTGATTATTGTAATGCGCACTTTTCTTAAAATTAAATTTAAAATTAGATTAAACTATTATTAAATTGAAATGAGACTTATCATCCATGTTTACGATTGTGTTGATGACAGTGAAAATTGAAATACATTGCATTTCTTTGAGTACACGTTGAATACACTGTTATGTACAACTTCATAGTCAAGTTGTCATGATGGTACCTAACATACGTAGGAACTGTTCTTGATCTTCCATGTAAATTTTTTTGGATCAACCTAGCATTTCTGCCTGGTGATCTCATTTATTTATTTATTTGTTATAATTAGTCGTGCAAATATCAAGTTTTCTTTTATTCCGTTTTAATGAGTCAGTTAAATTTTTATTTTGGATGATCACTTCCTTAGATGCGTTGTATCGGCTTATGATTTTTCTTTTGGTGACTGATATAAACATTAAATTTCGCTTCATTAGTTTCAAGAGGGTTTCGACACCATTTCCGGGGGGGGGGGATGGGGGAACACATCTTCTATCTCATAAGGTATAACACGAAGTCGGAAAGTCTGAGGTATTCTGCTGTGCTAAAGAAAAACGCTATACATATGAACCTTCAGGCATTGCCATTCCTCTGATAAAACACGAATTTACTAGGAAAATTCTAGACTTTTTTTATCTAATTTTTCGGATAATTCTGTTCACGATTTCATTTAAATCATCTGAAACTTTTAAGGTGAAATATGCATAATATTCCTCAAAAATAATTATTTTATCGGAGGAAATTTGGCAACTCTTGAATGTTCATACGGCGTTCTTGCTTAGCATGGCAGAATTGCCCAGGGACCTGTCCGTCCGTATTTCATACAAATTACTCCATTAATTCTAAACAAACACAGTTATCAATGAGCATGAACTTTGCTCAATTTATATAAGTTTCAAATGACTATCTGCCGTGAGGAGCTCTCCGTCATTTATCACCTCGAAGTTTAAAGTGTCCAAGATAACCTGCATACTTTTTACGGGAGGAAAACTACCTCTCAAAATAAAAACGGAACGCTCCGTCGGTCACTGTTTTTCGTCTGTCTTTCCGATCGAGAAAAGGCTTGTCCTTTACGCTGTCAATCAACCTTCATAGGGAGACGTAATTAGAGTGGGTCAAGGGCCGGGACAGAGAAATGTTACTGAGAAAGGGGCGGGGTGCAGCTTTCAAACAAGGCCTCTCAAAACCGTCAATATTTTATTTTGCGGTATTGGACTTTAAGTTCATTTCTCCATTTTCCGGCCAAAGTATCACAAGCCCCATCGTGCAACGTTAAACAATTGCTGCCGCCATTTTATTTTTTTACAAAGAAATTGTTGCTTAAATCCGTTGGAAAATTTAATCGATTGTTGTCGGCAGTGCAAAGAATATTCAGTGAAATTTCTGGACAGCTTCGTTGAACAATTTCTCTGTACAAAAATATAATGGTGGCGGAAATTTTTAAACGTCACATTGCGCTTGTGATACTTTGGCCGGAAGGTGTCGATTTTGTCTTGACGCGGTATTTCATTAAAATCCCTTTCAAATTTTCTGATTTTTGTATGAGATTAGAGGAAAAATCTGTGACAGTTTCTAGGTAGAGATGTTTAAGATTCTCTCACTTAAAATTCAATTTGCGAGGGAAAATTTGGCAACATTGTGATGTGGTTAAGTTCTTTCGTGAGAAAACGACGAATTTTGCGACTGCCCGAACTGGCTAAATTGCGAAAAAAGCGCGGGTTCTGCCCTGCGAAAAGAGACCAATCTCTTCAAGAAAAAAGTGGTCTGAGCATGGGAAGTTTTTAGCATAATCGCAAATTCACTCTTGTGAGGAAAATTCTTATTGTTAATATTTGAATGTGGACTACATTTTCGCTCATTTTAGGAACAACGTATGTGTCATAAGAAGATAGGTGTTTTTATGGGGGATCTCGGAAGAATGGTTCCTCCTTAAAAAATGAAGTCTAATTGATTTGCAATGTTTTTTATGGACAATTCTACGAACCTGCCAACCAACTCAACAAGCAAACCTCTTGTTTTTCAAACTATTGTTTCCTGGAACTCTTGTTACTTGTTCCTCTCAATATAAACACAAATCCATTTCTTCGTAAAAATGATCATCTGTCAAAATATTGGTGAATGAAGCACGCTATCTTATTTACAACAATGCACGATTTTCGTGGTAACGACATTGCCTGAGATAATAGCAGCTTGAAAACGTGTTGTCAGCAACTTGTTGCGGACCTTATCAATGTCATGAAGTTGAGTAACTTGTTCGTAACATAAGAGAAATATTTCACCGATAATTATTGATGTCAACATATATGTCACTCACAATCATGGTACTAATATGATCGCAATACCTATGTCAGCGTCAGCATGACTGTATTTATTAACTAGGCTCTTATTATTTTTTAGATTAAAATTATTAATTACAACTTGATCATAATAATTTAAATACCGGTGATTTTCTTTGTTTTAATACTAATAAGAAAGTCAAAATGTATAGCATGTTAGAATATGGATAAAAAGTGTCCTTTTTTTAGGGCCTTGGAGGACAAGGCACATAAGTGCAGTTTCTGAAAGATTAATGATTTCAAGTAAAACTAGTCTTAATGTATAATTTGTGAAAAATTCGCTCCCAAATTCCAATTTCAAGCATCAAAAAGTCAGTGTGAACTTTCTTTCCATCGTAAGGATCCATGTAATTTCGAGACGTCAAGCGCATATTTTTCGAAATACTGCACTTATGCATCTTGTCCTCCTAGCTTCTCATTTGTCCAAGCACCCCAATTGTATATAACGCGATTCTTCTCATTTCGTAGGGGCTGCTATCGACTCCATTCCAATTTGTAAAAAAAGACAAATAAAATAGGTTACAAAAAAAAATCTTTGGCTAACATTTTTTTTTAAAAAAAGGAAGAAAAAGTTATCACGGAATTTTCTGTTCCAGGCGTAGACGGACTAGCTGCCATTGATATTTGAGCCCAGGCATGTCTCAGGGGGACAAAATGGAGCGGGGTCAAGAATCCATTACTATGATCCCCCGGGGGGATGTGCGAGAGGAAGGGAAGAAACTACCACAGTACATAGCAGCAATCACAGGTAAGCCCGTTCAGGGTCACCCTTTGCACTCTCAATCTAAGATGGGGTCCTCCAGAAAGTAAGTTTACCTCTTCTGCCGTGCTAAGGAAAAACGCCGCACGAGCCCCCAGGCACTGCAAATTTACTTCAGTAAATCAAGAATTTTCGGGAAAATTCATGGACACTTTTCTTTCAATTTTTCAGATAATTTCGTTCGCAATTTCACCTAAAGTTCCTGAACATTTCTTGGGAAAATATCCATAGCTTGCCTTAAAATAAACATTCTAGACGGAAATTTGGCAACTCTTGAATGTTCATGCGGCGTTTTTCCTTAGCACGGCAGTGTCCAAAACTAAGATAGCCAAGAAAGCCTATAAAAAGGCTTGAAAAGCCACTACTTTCAGCTTCCTAACGCGTCATATAATATATTTTTAGATTCGGTTCAGTGGCACTCAAGAGAAAAAGATGGTTCTGATCCCATGTCCTCTCCGTGCGGGCCCAAAAACGGAGCATTAATTCGGCGGAGAGGAGGTGGGTTCAAATATTCCACTTTTCTAGAGTTCTATTAAACCTTTAAAAGTTTCGCGTTCGAAAGCTGAGAGTAGTGGTTTTTCAACACTTTTTGCAGATTTTCTCTATCAGTCTTAGTTTAGTAGATATTGAAACTGAGTAGGTAAACTTTCTTTCTGAACGACCCCGGTATATATCAGGAGGTTTTAATTTTCACTCTCTGACAGTTTCTTTTTCTGTCGGTTTTCTTGTATGTATTCATCGAAAGCTGTAGCGGTTTCCTTTTCGTATACGTTGCAATACTGCCACGCTAAGGAAAAACGCTGTATGAACATTCAAGAGTTGCCAAATTTCCTCTGATAAAACGTTTTTTAAGAAAAAAGCATGCACATTTTTCCTTGATATTGTCAGATATGTTAGATCGAAATGGGAAGAATATTATCTGAAAAATTAGAGGAAACATACTCACAACTTTCCCAGTGAATCAGTATATTATAAAAGGAAATTTGGCAACACGCGGAGGTTCATACGGCGTTTTTCCTTAGCACGGCAGAATACATAGGTGAATCAGGTCTTTTACCTCTTTCGCGCTTTAATTCCCTCCTCCCAGTAATTTTCTCATTCATGCGCGGCTTCTCAGTTTCTCAATCACCTCTCTACCTCTCTTCGTAGAATGCGGATTAAAATTCATGAACGGAGCGACTTGGAGAGAGATAACGATAAGTATCGAGTAATCTGTAGGGTGAAAAGTCAAACATGATATAAGAAAAGAAGAAGAAAAATATCAGAGGTTAATGTAAACTTACGATTTCTTGGAGCAGCAATTTTACTCGCCAGAACGGTAGCCGGCGGGTATCGCGTTTTTTTAAGCACATGTAGAGTTTGTCAAACAAGCATTTTCAGAGCTAAATTTAAGCTCAGTGTGAAAGGAGGAACAAAAAGAGGTCAAACCATTAGTGCTAACATTGGGACGCATTTTTTTAAAATTCTAGATCAAGTATTATACTGCCATGCTAAGGAAAAACGCCGCACGAGCAGTAGAACGTTGCCAAATTTCCTCTAAAAAAGAGGAATTTTTTAATAAAGTTATATGAATATTTTTCCTAACAATATTCAGACGTTTTAGACCAAATTACAAACGAAATCCTGTTTAAAATCGGAAGGAAAATATTCATTAAGTTTCCTAAAAATGCATGAGTTTTTGAAAGAAAGTGAGCAACGCCTAATGGCCCATACATCGTTCTTCGGGATTATTATAAACTTCAATCTCCTTTTCTTTTAAATCATCAGTTTTCTTATTTCATACTTTTGATTTTCAATGAGAAAATAATAGACGTTCGCCTGAAATATTCGTCTACCTCGCGAAACGTGGTGCCCACAAACGGGCAAACCATTCACGCAGATTATGTTGGGAGCAGTGAATTGCGGATATTGCCAATGCGCTCATCATGATTTTAAAGTCAGTACCCTAAAGAAACGTTTAAAAAAAGCAAATTTGTACAACTATGCTTTTTGCTCCAGTAAAACATTTCAACATAACCATTGTGTGCTATAAACACTAGGTGGGTCTATAGGTTGATTTTATTCTGTCGAGCAACTAAACTAACTTCCCGACAACGCGTAGAGTATCAAGCGGAATTGAAGGCTCGTCAAATCGAAAAAGCGCTGCGATACGTAAGATGTCACGCAAAAATGACGGCGCGTTTGAGAAAGAGAACTGACAAGTTACACAATGGACAGTGCAATAAAGAAGCAGAATTTCTAGTTCAATTATGAAAGTACCTATCTATAATCAGTCCTTCTTGACTCCTTATTGCAAAATATAATCAAAACATGTATATATTCCGACTGTGAAACTAAACTGTAAAATTTCCGATTGGGTATTTACGTCAAAGCCGGGGAATTTACTTAGAATTTTAAGATATACTTGTTTAAAGAGCTCTAAAATTTCGGTAGTTACTTTTTGATCATCTACAAATATTAATGTAAAAGATTATTATACATTGTGCTAGATTCTTTATTTACATAAAAATTATCAATCATCTTGCATTGAGGAAAAATTAAGTTCAGAATTTTTGCGAAGTTTTATCTTGAAATGAGTTCGTATTAAAACTTAATAAGTGTTTACACTTCAGTAGCACCATTATTACAAATCCAGGGATATTATATGATTGCTAATTCTATCTCGTAACATGTTATCTCGAGTATATTGTAATTGACAAAAGTGTGGTACGGATAAATACTCAGTCAATAGAGGTTGTCAGATCTAAGGAGGCGTAAATTTATCCCTCATGCTGGTGTAGGGACTATTTACGAAAGGAGGTATATTCACAATATTCGTAACGTATGTTGCCGTGCTACGGAGGGGGACAGTATTGGCAAAATGATCGTGAGTGCAAATTCCTGTATACTACCCTGAATTTTTAGAGAAGCAAGATGCGCATGGTAGAACAGGCAGATCTTGATTATTAACGGGCAGGGAAAAGAAATTGTTGCAATCCGCTTATGAGAAACCATGCAGTGGGCACACACTCTTTTTTTTTGCTGTTTTTAAAACTTGAAAAGTCTACCCTTTGCATATACTGTGCTCTCGTAACGTGTATCATAAGCGTGTGCCACCGTGCCATGTGTACAGTATTGGCCGATTTTTTTAAAATCTAGAATGAAAAATCATTGTGAGGTGGCAACCTCCCACCCATGGGGCGGTAAAGACATGTGTTCCAAGTAGCATTTTACAATAGAAAATTCGCGATTTTATGAAATTAAATTGCGATTTCTTCACGATTCCTGGGCGATGAAATCGCTAGGGTCATCAACATCTGGGCGACGATCCTCAATCTTGTCGCGATTTCATCTCTATAAAATCGCGTTCAGTAAAATCGAATATCTCAACTTATCACGATTTTTGGTTTACAATAGTATCGCGATAAATCGCCATCGATAAAATCTCGATTTTATCGCAACTTCATGCATTGAAATCGCAATTTATCGCAAGTTTTAATCCGATATTATTGCAATAAACGTGGGTGAAATTGCCGTGCATTCTCCGATCAAATTGCACCTTACCAAGATCACTGCCACTTAGGGTTATGGGTGCTCACGAGGGGGAGGAGGGGGGTAGTAGAAATACCATTTTCAGTGTTACGTATTCTGAATGGCCCATAACCTAGCCTAATCCTCTTCTCAAAGAATCATCACTTATTTGCGCAAATCAATTTCGCGACGCCATGCATCCATAAAATGAATGGGTCTCCACCGAGGTTTGCAGCGGGCGCACCGCACAGTGGATCGAGTCAGTGGGAGAGGTCGGACATGATTTAAAAACTTTAAAATCTTGTATCTTCATTAATATGAAATGTTGATGCTTTAACCGTAGTTTCATTGGTTTCCTCGTGAAATTCTCTATGAAAAGTACCCCTAAAAATTATAATTGTGACGAAATAAACGTAAAATTTTACATTCGTTGTGAAAAATTTTATATGCGACTTTTTCCAAAAACTCGTCCTACTGTGGGGCGTCGCAGTTTCAGCCGAGAATAATGAGCCGGCTTACTTTCTAGGATGAATCTCGTGATCTTGGTTTTGAAGTATTCTCCGTCATTTATGTATTCCACTCCAAGATGTGGGTCACCTACTTATTTAATGTCCGTTGAGGCGCCATCAGTGGATAACCATCACCGGTACTCGAGGGGTTTTGAGATCATGCCATGATCAAATGCGGCAGGTTTTACGGTGTTTTATTGCACTGAGGAAACATTTTGGTCGGATCTAAAGGACCGTCTATTGAATGCTGCCGTGCTAAGGAAAAACGCCGTATAAGTCTCCAGGAGTTACCAAATTCCTTTGAATAATCGTGAATTTGCAGGAAAATTTAAGAATATTTTTCTTTCGATTTTTCGGTGGATTTTGTTAAAAATTTGATCTGAATAGTCTGAAAATTTCAAGGGAAAATATTCATAACTTTCGCCAAAAATTAAATATTTTCTGATAGGATTTGGCAACATTCGAATGCTCATACCAACGTATTTCCTTAGCGCGGCAGGATAGTTCCGGCGATAGAATTCTTTCCGCGAAAAATAGAACTCTTGCTATCCCGAAGAGGATTTATAAAATTTTTTAAAGAACAATCGGCCCCATCCATTTTTTAATATTGAACATTTGCAAATATTTCCTTTTTCTTTTTCTATTCATTCTCCTGATAGCTCACTGGCTGCCATTCCTACTTTTGGCTTATTTTTAGCTATTGATTCGAATTAGTTTTCATTAAAAGATCTATTCGTTGCAGTACGGAAGAAATTCGCCACTTGGCTGGGACGCGAACCAAAGACTTATTGGCTTTGGGATTGATGTTCTATAGCAAACCTGGCTGGCTTGGAAATAGTGTTACTACAAAACCGAAATCTGATGCCATCAAATCATCGACTTATTTTGAATAATTTAAAAATTTAAATGCCCCTTCTAGATACTGAATATCGTACATTATGCACTTTTTACGAAACACATCCAAGTATAGTGCGATTTTGAAATATATTACACAGATCATCAACAGGGAAAGCTTCGTCCAATATTCCATCGCATTTTGAAAGTGAGACCATGACGCGATGTTTTTCGCGATTTTTTTTTTTTTTTTTTGGAATCATCCATCACCATGTCAAAATAATTTATTCAAAATTTCAGTTGAAAAATTGAAGTTCAGACTAAATGGTAGATCCGCCCTCTCGAACACAAGTTTATATCCATGATATTTTATAAAACCTGTTTTTTTAAACTTACTCTGCAATGAAGTTCCATTTTGCTCATTTTGCGGCTCAACTACATTAGTTCAACCTATTTATAATCCAAAAAGCTCACTATAATCTTTAAACTCTATGAGTATACTTTTCCTGAAATCAAAGTTCTCTCAAATTGTCCGTGCCCCTGTTCAAAAATTAAGCATGAAAGATTAAGAAGATTTTATTTTTTAAAAAGAATTTTATTTAAATATAACATAACTACTACAAGTATTTCCTAGTATCTATCTACGTGGCTGAAAACTGAAACTAAACAAATTGCATTAGTTTTACATGGTAAAACGATGATTATCTAAAAGAACAGTAATTGTAAAATTATCTGCCTTCTTTTTTAGAGATATTATAACATAAAGGTTTTTAGTTTAATGGTTTCGTATTCTTCCTTTCACACTCCATTCACACTCTCATTCATACCTTACAGACTACTTACAAGGTAAATCTTGATGGGATTTCAAAGGTCTCCCACCTTTTTAATCTTTTCACTAATATTGTACTATCTAAGAGGTTTAGAGCCTCTTCGTTGGCATGTTTTTCAATACGACATGCATATCTCTTCGTTGTCTTAGCAAGGACTTGTCTAACTTAAGAAGAATACGAACGAAAAAAATTCAATTTTCAGTCAGGTTTACATGAAAAGGTAGATTACATTCTTATCACATATCAAGGAAATGTATGCGCTCCATGATCGATCAATCTTTTTACAAATACATTTTTTCTTTTTATTACAGCCACACTCGGTGCAGTAGCAATCGGTACCGTTCTTGGATGGTCTTCGTCAGCCTCGCCTTTCCTCAAGGGTGAAATTACGAACGTCACCTCAACCATAGATCCTCCGCTCTCAGTAGATGAATCAGCTAGAGTGGAGTCTTTCGTGGCTATTGGAGCCATCATGGGTGAGATATTTACTCTCCATTTGCCAAAAAAAATTCTCGTCATTTGTTACTGGATGCATGTCTTATAACATCCCACTGAGCCCACACTAAACCAAAGACCGTTGAATATTTTTTATGCATGGATAACAGGAAAATATGATTTTCCGAGGTCTAATCAAGGATTATTTTTATTCTTTTTTAAGGCTGATGATTCATAGAACTGATTTTTACCGGCTAAAAATTCACAGACTGTCGCGATATATTGTTTGAATCGAAATTTATCCACACTAAAGAGGGTTGAAGTAGCGTAAAACTGGGAGAGCACTGATAAGGTGAAGCTTTGAGGGTGAAATGATTATGTCGATGGAATTGTCACGAAGGAGGAATTGTTTCAAAATAAATTACATTCTCGAGTCTGAGAGACGCTCATTCTCAAAAAAGGAACTATCACTGAATTCATCTTATGCTGGACTATAAAAAAGCCTGATAATGAAAGATGCAGTGTACTGATTATACCAGTGGGTGTGCGTAAAAACTCAGTCGCGGCTTGAATTTTTAATTTAGAAAGAGAAGGAGGGAAAAAGAGAGAGATATCTAAACATGGAAGTACAGTCAGCCCCGCTTAATTGGGACACAGCCGTCCCAGGCGGTTTTGTCCCGATTGAGCGGGTGTCCCGATAAAACGAAGTTTTTTGGTAGTATATAAAAGATTCCGTCCCGAGCGATTTTGTCCCAATAAAGCGGTTGTCCCGATTAACCAGTGTCCCAATTAAGCGGGGCCGACTGTATGAGGGAAATAAAGCGACTCTCTGGGAAATAGGGTTGCTGTACTCTTAACACAGACTAACTAAGATGCAATTGAAAAGATTTCCGGAAAAAGGGCACATAGCAAAAAATTGCGTTTGAGAGAAATGCATTTGAAGTTTTGATCATCACTCTATGGCCACTGACAGTGACCTACGTTCGAAATCGGGAGTCCAAGCTGCGATGAAAGGTACCATCAGTGGCCAGAAATTAATGATGGAAACTTAAAATGCCTTTTTCTCAAACACGATTTTTTGCTATGTGCCCTTTTTCCGGAAAGCTCCTCAATTGCTTATGAAGGTTCTTTAAAGGACCTTCATTGGACATGTTATTTCATTCAAATATTGTGACATTGACTCGAACAATTCAATTTCTCACAAGAATACAACTGCAATTTCTGTTCAGAATTTTATTGATTTTTTTGTATCATTACAAGAAAAATCAGACCAATCTCCAGTTACGAAACGGTATGCCCCAAAAAATGCAATCGGAGAGTAGAAATTTTGCGGAGGTGAAATGCAGTTACGTTCTTTCGTCTAAGGAACGAAAATTAATTCCAGTGGCTAGGCGTGAATGATGAATTATCGTTTTTCCCCCATTAGAAACTGAAGTAAAGAATCGATTACAGCGGACTCTCGATAATTCGAAAATTCGAACCTCCATAATTCGAAAACCTCGTTAATTCGGAGGAAAGTCCGTTTCCCCTGAAAATCTCTCGATAATTCGAAGAAAATCAATGTATTCTTCTCCCTTCGATATTTCGAAATTTTTAAGCTGGCGCGGCCCTCTATAATTCGAAATTGCGACGAAAATTCTCTCTGTAATTCGAAGTAAATATGGTCCTCCCTCTATAATTCGAAATGAGACGGTACATTCCCTCTACAATTCGAAGTCAACTGTTTATGTACTTGGGTGTCTGAAAGAGCTGATAGGATTGTCAAAATGTAAACATGTAATTAATAATTTTAAAATTAAATAAAAATAATTAATACTTAATAATAACTTAGTGTAATTTTTACCTCCGTAAAGAAATAAACTGATATTTTTGGTTCCTTTTGACGTAAATCCGTCCATTTGCCTCTCTACATTCGAACCTTTCTAATCCGAAATTTCTCCACATAAATCTTCTTAATTCGAACTCCCTTTATTTCGAAACCTCGCTAATTCGAAGCAAAAGCCGATTCCCTTCAATTTCGAATTATCGAGAGTCCACTGTATTGAGGTGTTGTTGGCGGACAACTTGTTTATCGATCCTTTTCCATAAGTTTAAATGGCAGATCAATCGATATGTCGCAAATCACACCACTCCATCATTGAAATCCAGATTTTGGTCCCCCTCGGGTTGAAATCGAGATTTTAAGCGTCGCATGAGCCTAACTATTGTATATAACTGCACTGAAGCTTCAAGTGCGTTGCAAAATTTTACATTTTGAAATTGCTGCTACCTCTCGTTTCCGTATTTGTCCTGCGGCAATAAATTATGCAGAAATGAGATTTGGTTGAGATTCATCTATCACTGCGATCCCCTCTTGAGTCGTATAAGCCATCGTGAAAATTTATGTCATCTAATTACCTTAGAAATTCCGCGCCCGAGAAGTGTTTTTGTTGATCCTTGCGCTCGTCATGAAGTCGCTCCTCTGACGAAATGGCGTATCTCGATTACCACGTGAACCCTATCCTCTATGAGACTTCATGCTTTCTGGGGCTCATGTAGGAATAGAGGTACGCCCTTACGTCAGAGGAGCGACGATGTACCACTTCAAATTCGATAAGATGAGCAAGCATTCCTACAATGCGTGCTCTTGACCAAAGGAGTCACTACCGCCATGCTGCTGTGCTAAGGAAAAACCCAGATATGACAGAAATATTTAGCCAATATTTAAACAATATTGTTTTGATATTTATGCAAACATTGGTCCAATATTGGCTAAATATTGAGCCAATGTTAAAAGTGTACACCATATTTCCTTTTGGCATAAATACTGTGCCAATACTTTAAAATACTAAGCCAATACTGTGAAAATATGTTTATAATATTTTGGGTAGACATATTATTTTTAAAAATACTAAGTAAGGATTCTTTAAATATTTTTTAAAAAATAATTTTGATTAAAATATTATCAAAATATTGTCAGTATTGTGTAAATCTTGCTACAATACTGAGAATATTTGCCCAATATTGTAAAAATATTATGTCTCAGCTGGGAACGCCGTATGAGCCATCAGGAGTTGCCAAATTTCCCCTTATCGAACACCAATTTTTGAGGAAAGTTATGTATATTTTTCCTCGAAATTTTCCAATCCTCCAAATCAAATTGCTAGTGAAATTCTCTTAAAAATTGGAAGAAAAACATGCAACAGTTTCCTCGGAAATTCGTATTATATCGAAGGCAATTTGGCAACACCTGGAGGCTCATACGGCGTTCTTCCTTAGCACGGCAGCATGGGCGTGTGTTCATGGTAAAATTTCGAGAAACAAGTTTGAGCCTGTTTCAGCCTTTTTAACTGGGAAATTTAATTTTTAACAAGAGAACGTTTGTGCGGATTCCTTTGAAAATTGTGAGGACTTTGCTTCGCCTTATGCAGAAAATTCACTAGAATTTGCACGAGTTTTCACGTAAAAATTAAAGTGCCCGATTCAATTTGGCAATAGCTGATGTGACTTGGTTCCTCTCTGCTTAACGCGGTCCGATGATGATTTGATTTTGTTTTAAAATAAATTATTTGGCCCACAAATAAAGTCACAAGGTGGTAAAATGGTGCTGGATCTACACTATTCAGCGGGGATTAGTGAGGCAAAAAAGTTCAAAAGTTTTAATTTAGAAAACTTCTTTTGAAAATGTTTAAAAATACATTTTCCGACCTTGCAATCCCCGCAAAATAGTGTGAACCTAGCACTATTTCACCACCTGCGTATATACAGTTCGGACCAATTTTTTAGTGATTTCTCTAAATGTCACAAGTGCGGCCGAAAGATACTCTTGAAAATTAAATTTACATCCTATCGATCTGATTTTTTGAAAAATTACCTTAGTAAAATTCATGAGTAGGTAATCACGTATCGCAATAATAATGATAAATGATATTATTCACCCCGAGTGCACCGTAAATATCTCTATTTGTCAGGAGAAATACCGCGTGTGTCAACACCCATGTTCAAAAAAGCTCTCAAAGTTAAGGCCGTGAGGGAAGAGCACATGTGCTCTACAAGACCTTAATATTCCGTCAAACTTTCCATGCAGAGACAGAGCTAAGTAGGTACATTAACAGGGATGCCATTATCACGAGCAAAAAACTACTTATTCGATACTCGAAGTTCACACAAAGAGCAGCGACTCTGGTTTTCACCCCCACAATATCCATGGCCAAAGTGCAAAACCTCGTATCTCCATCTGCGACGTTGCAGACTTCCCGTCATTTTTGATTTTTCCTTGGGAAAACCAGTCAACGTATTTTCTTGAAAACTTCCTTGATTTTTCCCACCTGTTGGCAGAATGTTTTCTTTAAATTTCAAACAATTTTGGCTTGCTTCCCTTTGTGAAAATAAAGGAGGGACCGAAATTTTGGAACACAGCAATGGAGATACGTGTTTTTGCACTTGGGCTAACGATATCTTTGCTTAGAGAGAGGGAGAATTGGACTGACAAGCTAAGGGTACAGTTGAAGGTTCTCAAGTACCATTTTTCAACGGAAAAATCCCGATAATTTGAGAGTAAGTTGCGACTTTTTTACGATTTTTTTACGATGAAATCGAAATTTTATCTCAATTCATCACGATTTTTTGTTCGATAATATCGCGCTGAATCGCCGTTGATAAAATCACCATTTTATTGCACATTTATGCGATAAAATCGCAATTTTGACCCGATGATATTGCAATAAATCGACGTTGATAAAATCGCGATACATTAACCGATCAAGGCGCAACTTATCTCGATCACTTGGGTTATTGAGAGGGGACGAGCTACCTCATCTGGGTCCTCGCAAAATTTTACTGAGACCTCGGTGAAGAAATCGAATATCCCTGCTTTTTGCAGAATATCCACTACTCCAGGTTCAGTTGCCGGAGCTACGGGTGCTACACCCGGAACTTTCGGCCTCTCAGCCCGAAACGCACGTTATATCTATCCTGTCCTTAAGTAGGGCTTTCACAGCCCAAGTAGGAGTGATCGCGAAAAGTTGCGATTCGATTGGAGAATGTTCGCGCTTTCATTGACGTCGATTTACTGTAGTATTATCGGCTAAAAAATGCGATTTAATCTCATACATTTCCAATAAAATCGCAATTTTATCGACGGGGATTTATAGCAATATTATCAAACGAGAAATTGTAATAAATTGAGATGAAATTTCGATATTTTTCGAACGCGATTTTACAGGGATAAAATTGCGACGAAATTAAGGACAATCGCACAGAAGTTGATGATCCTAGCGATTTAATCGCCAAAAAATCGTAAAAAATTGCAACTTGGAATTACATGTAAAGCAGCTTTTACAGCGCTCTCTGGCGCTCTACGACACCTAGCCGCCAAAGTCCCCTATCCTTCCAGAGCCCTTCAGGGATTTGGCACACCCTCATTTCTTCTAAAATCTCCTGTCGCCACTCTTTCACTGGGCGTCCCCTTCGTTTCCTCCCAGGAGGAAACCCATCCAGCATACTCTTCATCCAAAATCGCAATCTTTCTCCATTCAAAATCGCAACTTAAGTTCTAAAATATGGCGATTTTCCCGTTGAAAAATGCTACTTAGGAGCCGAAGTTTTCTTTCCAGTGTATTCATCGATTATTTCTTTCTTCTTCTAAATCTTTAGGAGCACTGCCGGCAGGATACTTCGCGGACTTGCTCGGTCGAAAGACTTTGATCGCCGCTCTGACCCTTCCCTTCCTGCTGAGTTGGATCATGATTCTACTGGCGAAAGTTGCGTGGCTTCTGTACGTCGCTAGGATCTTGGCTGGAATCGCGACGGGCGCCACTTGCACCGTTGTCCCCATGTACATTTCAGAAATCGCCGAGCTTTCCATCCGAGGTAAGTTCGAATGCAACTGAATAAAGCATGGTTTTCCGGGTTTTGAGGTCCAACTGCCGCACAGTGGATCGAGTCAGTAGGAGAGGTCGGACAAAATTTGGAAACTTTAAACGCTTAAAACTCCGTTTATGCACACTGAAAAAAAAATCTCGGTGTATTTACTAAGAAAAGGGTAAAATTACCAAGAATCCAGGATTCTATTTGATCCCAGTTTTTTCTTGGTAAAATAACCATTTATGGAGTTGATAATCTTACCGAGAAATCTCGGTAAAATTATTGAACTTTCTCGGTAATAATACTGGACCTTAGTAAAAACGCCAATATTTTTTATCGACTGTGGTAGAATTACCGAGATAAAATGGCAAAGTTACCGGGAATTGATTACCAATAAAAGTGGTATTCTTACCTGAAAAAAAAACAGTAAAAATACCGGTTTTTAGGTAAGCTTACCAGTCTGTCTTGGTAAAATTACAAATAATTGGTAAAAAAAAGTGAGATAGTAAAGGTACCAATGGACCGTTGTAAAAACGCCGAGAATTTTGTTTCAGTGAAAAACTTTGAGGTTTTAAAAGTGGTTTTATTGGTTTCCTCGTAAAATTTTCCTCTAAAAGCACCCCTTGTTAAAAATGTGACAAAATAAACATCAAAATATGCAGTTTTAGTCGTAAATTCCATGTCCGACCTCTCTACTTGACTCAATCTACCGTGTGCCGGCTGAATGGAAAAGCTGAAATTTACATTCTGTCAAACGGGCCTATAGGCCAACTGAATGCTGCACTCACGAGTCGTGGGAATGGGAAAAGAGCGTTGTGGACAGGGCTCATGAGTTACAGTCGAGAGAGAGCTACAACGGAGACGGCTTCGTTGCCGCTGACGTCACTGGCGCTTCATAGTTCCCATTCATTCTCGTGGTCCTCAACTAACGAGCACACCCCTTATTTCCCACCTGTCGCTGTTTCCGTTCGGCAAAAATACAGCACTGGAAAAAAAACACATTGGATCTAGAGTCCAGACTCTTGAAAACATTGACAAGAAAAAGGACTCTTGATTCAATCAGATTTAAGCTTAAATCAAAAGGAAATCCGCTCAAATTAAGAGGCTTGGTTCTTGATTTAAGCTTAAATCTGATTGAATCAAGAGTATTTTTTCTTGTCGATGTTTTTAAGAGTCTGGACTCTAGATCCAATGTGTTTTTTTTCCAGTGTACGCCCGAGTGAAAGATGAAGCTTTTTAGACAAAGAAGACAAGGGGAAAAACGATCGTGTTGGTTGAAACGGGCGGTTCTTTTAGACTACGGAGGAACATGATGGTCGAACTATGGGGTCTCTCGTGAGTTGCCGTTAGTTAGTTTATTATTTATTGTCTTTGTCCATTGCAACCGTAACCATTTTCAACAATCGACTCGTCCCTTTTTCCTTTTGTCTATCAGTTTCAATTGTCAGCGAGCAGAGCGGAGGATAAGGAAAAATTTTCCCCGGCGAGGTTTTTTATGAGAGGGATTTCGGCAATGTTCTTCCGCGGTCAAACGAACCCAAAGGCCCAAAGGCCGAGCCCAACGCGGCCCAGAGCCAAGGGTCTCAGGGCTGCGACACATGCTCGATTCGTAACGCCTTTTGAGCCGGTGAAATACTTGTCGTCTCTATCCTGTTCTTTCGCTCTCAGATTTATCGTCTGATTTGTCGGTCGTTTGTCAAATTTTGATCCAGTTTGAAGTGGCAAGTGGCGTCACGGTCACGGTGGACGGTAGACGGCGGATGGTCAATGTCAAAAGTCAACCCTCGTCGCATCCCCCCCCCACCCGCGACCCCGTCACTCTCCCTTCCATTCACTTTCGATTTTCCGGACCCACCCCAGATTTTTTTGTTTTTTTGTGAGCCAATGGCCGAGATTTCTCGGTAAAATTACCAATTCCACAAATGATAATTTTACCAAGAAAAAACTGGGATCAAATAGAGCCCTGAATTCTTGGTAATTTTACCCTTTTCTTAGTAAATACACCGAGATTTTTTTTTCAGTGTGGTCGGAAATGCGGGCCATTACTATAAGCGCTGTAATGGAGCTCATGCATTCTACCACAGTCGATAAAAAATATTGGCGTTTTTACCAAGGTCCAGTAAAATTACCGAGAAAGTTCAATAATTCTACCAAGATTTTTCGGTAAAATTACAAATTTCACAAATGATAATTTTACCAAGAAAAAACTGTGATCGAATAGAACCCTGAATTCTTGGTAATTTTACCCTTTTCATAGTAAATACACCAAGATTTTTTTTTCAGTGTACCAACTCCCCGTGTTTCAGGTACCCTAGGCGCGTACTTCCAGCTGATGATCACACTCGGGATCTTCTACGCGTACGTGTACGGCTACCTGGTCCGCTTCGCCGTGCTGAACATCCTCTGCGCGCTGATCCCGATCGCCGGCTTCTTTATGTTCATGTTCGTGCCGGAGTCGCCCAAGTACCTGCTCATGCGGCAGAAGAAGCAGTCGGCCGAGAAGTCCCTCCGCTGGCTCCGCGGCAACAAGTACAACATCAAGCAGGAGATCGAGACGCTCCAGAATGAGATCGCCAAGTCATCCCGGACGAAGGTCTCCTTCAAGGACCTCGTCGCCACCAAGGTCGCCTTCAAGAGCGTCAATATCGCCCTTGGTTTGATGGTCTTCCAGCAGTTGTCCGGGGTCAACGCGGTCATCTTCAACATGAACGCTATTTTCATGGCGTCGGGCAGCACCATCGAACCCGCCATCTGCAGTATTATCATCGGTGCCATCCAGGTCTGTACCCAATTTTTTTAGGATTCTTAGGCCTTGTCCACACGAACGCGGTTCGCGGAACTCAGTTCGAGGAACTTGTCCCCGGAACAAGTTTTTTGCTGAGCTGAAACTTATTCCTCCAAAACCTGGAATTTCCCCCGTGCTCCGAGCTTCTGTATGAATTTCTTTTGATGTGAATTTGCTTGTTTTTATTTTTCACGTCCTTTAAATATGATCTTGACATTTATTTTTGTTACTTTGGCGCTCATAATAATCTATTATTTTGCAATAATTGTATAGTTTTCTTGAAGTTCCGGTTCCAGTTCGGACGAACCCGTGTGGACAGCATGCCTCGTTTCAAGGAATAAGTTCCGGGAACTGAGCAAGTTTGAGGAATAAGTTCCGCGAACTGCGCTCGTGTGGACAAGGCCTCAGGATCCTTACACTGAAAAAAAAAGTTACCTACGTAGACATACCGTCCGTTCTGGGCTCAGTGACCGAAAGTACCGGGTGCTGGAGCCTTAGCTTCGATTGCTCTGGGTGCTGAAGCCGTAGCATTGATTACTCCGGGTGCTGGAGCCGTATAGCTTCGATTGCTCTGGGTGCTAAAGCCATAGCTGCGTTTGCTCCAGGTGCTGAAGCCGTAGCTTCAATTGGACTGCATTTAGCAATTTGGAACTAAAAATTCTGGCTCTTCTGAAAAAAACGCTTATGTGCATAAGGAAACTGATGGCACATACGTTGTTTTTATACCGGGCTAGAATTTATAGTTCCAAATTGCAAAATGTAGTCCAATTGTCCCGGGTGCTGGAGCCGTTGCATCGATTGCTCCGGTTGCTGGAGCCGTAGCTTCGATTGATCCGGGTGCTAGAGTCGTAGCTTCGATTGATCCGGGTGCTGGAGTCGTAGCTTCGATTGATCCGGGTGCTGGAGTCGTAGCTTCGATTGTTCCGGGTGCTAAGCCCGGAACTTTCGGTCTCTGAGCCTGGAACACGGACGGTATGTCTAGATAGCCCGTAAGTACGGCTTCTAAGGCCGGAGTTGTTTTTTTCAGTGTAGTTTTTCACTGGTTTTCTCTGAAATCATCTCCCAGGCTCAAAAAAAGCTCTCAAAGTGAGGCCAAAATAGAGGGGATATCCCACCCTACCCTGAGAGTCCACCGCTACATCAAGACAAACTCTCCATGCAAAGTTAGGGAGAAAATACATTAGCAGTGATGCCGTGTTTTCAGTTTTAGAGTCCCCAAATGGAGTGGCGGCCCTGTCAATGTATTTGCTCCCTATCTTTGCATAAAGAGTTTGTCTTGATGTAGTAGAGGACTCTCAGGGTAGGGTGGGATATCCCCTCCATTTTGGCCTCAACGAGAGAGCTTTATTTGAGCTTGGGAGTTGATTCCAGATAAAACCAGTGGCACCATCGTGTTTCTCACAAACTTTTACATACGAATCAATAGCCAAATCGCAAATTCCTCACACATGCAACATCTCCATTATCTGGTTATTTCTTTTGTGTTTCCTAGGTAATCGTAACGTTCTTTTCCTCGATACTGATCGACAAAGCCGGTCGGAAGATCTTGCTCCTGATCTCGCTGGGTGTGAGCACGCTCTCTCTGGGTGTCCTGGGTTACTACTTCCACCTGAAGAACAGCGGCGAAGATGTTAGCGGAATCGGCTTCATCCCCCTCATCTGTCTGATTCTCTTCATCGTCGTCTTCTCGCTGGGACTGGGGCCCATTCCGTGGATGATGTCCGGTGAAATCCTTGCGGCCGAGATCAAGGTAATAAAACTCTTCGATGGTAAAATTATGCTGGGTCCACACTATTTTCAGGGGAAGGCCACTATTTTCAAGGCCAACGAATTAAAAAATTTCTATTAGAGTCAAACAATTTTTGAGCTCTAATGTATGAGTACTAGTACAAGATTGAGGTGAAATTGGACTGATTGTGAGTTAAGCAGAAAAGAACCAACCCACATTTTGAGAAAAATTGAATTATGAGTGGTTTTGAACTCAACCACTGCGCTACTATCTATCGCCAAAAATTCAAAGTTTTTGTTGGAGCAAATTTTGCAGAAATTGAACTTGAAGTTTATCTTTCACATTGAGTCTTATGCAAGAGCCAAAATTTAAACCTCTTTTTCTCGGTTCGAGCCAGATGTGGCTTGGTTCCTTTCTGTTTAACTCCGTCCAATTATTCCAATACTTCCGTTCTCTGTGATAGTTGAAACGTTGTCTCGTGAACCAATTCTTTTAAACTATAACCGAGTTTTACTATGAGTAAACGTCTAAACGTGTCATTTCGAACATTGAATATTGCCTCCTTGCAAAGCAAGAACACCGTATGAACCTTCAGACGTCGCCATATTTCTTTCGAAAAGATGAATTTTTAGGGAAACGTATACATTTTTTTCTTCAAATTTTTCAAATAATTTTATTTGTAATCAGACTAGAATTATCTAAAAATTTAAAGAGAATATATATGCACAGCTATCCTCAAAAAGAAACGTTATATCGAATTAAATTGTAAATTCGATAGTCCCCGAAAGTTTATATGGTCATCTACCGTGGTAAAGGAGAACGCCGCATGAGCCCTCAGATGTTGCCAAATTTCCTTTGACAAAATACGAATTTTCAGGAAAATTTGTAAATCTCTTTCCTCCATTTTTTCAGAGAGTTTAATGTGAAACTTAATCTAAAATATCTGAAAATTTCAAGGGAAGATACTCATAATTTTTTTCCAAAATAAATATTTTTTCATTTACTATCTGGCAACGTTTGAATGTTCATACGTCGTTTCTTCTTACCGCAGCAGAGTTTGTGCTTAGCACGGCAAATTGGTTGGTCTCAATCATAGAATACATAGGGTCGTAATATGATGAAGTGACTTGGAGTCATGTTCTGGTCCTATGTTCCATGTTCAGGACGAGTTCCAAGATCGATTTGCGCCGAGATTCGGTCACCTTGTCGATACATTTTCGATACAAAATGGCAACGTATAATACGTGATAATTCATAACGCTCTTTATTTAAATCGGATGACCTATTGCCGGTAAGGTACCCGTGTATCGAAAACAATCGATTGTGTATTAAAATGATGCCCAGCACCGCACAGAAGTCCTGGAATCCGTTGACTGGAAAATGCTTAAAACCCAAGTAGCATTTTTCAACGGAAAAATCGGAATATATTGCAATTTTATCGGCGATAAAATAGCTAGGATCATAACATCTGAGCGATTATCCTCGATCTTATCGGGATAAAATCGCGATTTTATCGTCAGGCTATTTATCGCGATATTTTCGAAATAAAAATCGCGATAAACGGCGATTTAGCTTAGATTTTACCGACACAAATTGATCACGATATGCCTTAGCACGATGCCATGCCAAGTTTCCTTTCCATATCGCCGGTGAAAGTCGGCAATCACATAACTCGTTTGCGGTGTCTGAAAATCTCCGCCTCTACGTCATTTTTTTAAAGGAGAACAAATTGATATTATTTCTTGAAGTTTTTGCAGAATTTTCTTCGCATTGAGAAGAAAAATCATGACAGTTTTAAAGAATTGCCGTTGAGTAGTTTTCCATTTAAAAAATAAAGTATGACAGGAAGTCTGCGACGTCGCAAACCGAGTTATGTGACTGCCGACTTTCACCGTCGATATCTATCTCTGTCCATCAGCACCTTTTTTTTACCTTTTCAACCCCGCGCCAGGCGCCACCTTTGTCCGTGGCGGCGCACCGCGCCGCGACCTTTCATCTTATCATCTTTTCATCTTATTTTCTTTTAGCGCCTTTCCACCTTTCCACCCCCGCGCCAGGCGGCTTCCTTTTCGGCGACTCTGCGACCTTGGCATTCTTTCCCTACCTTTTTCTTCGCTCCTTTATCTTCATGATCATCATCTCTTGGCCAGGCAGCCAACGGACTCTGATTTCGGCCATAGTTCGCTAGGTCGCGGCGCGGCGCCACGGACAAGGGTGGCGCTTGGCGCGGGGTTGAAAAGGTAAAAAAAAGGGGCTAGTGGACAGAGATAGATATGGAAAGGAAACTTGGCATGGTATCGTGCTAAGGCATATGTAGGAACACTACAGAACCAAAAATTGCTATGTGTAGCGATTTAATCGCCATACACCGCAATTTTTAATGCGATAACATCTCGATATATTGCCTCCGATATAATTGCGATAACCAACCGATAAAATCGCTATTTATCGCGATCACTGCTACTTGCACGGAGAAGAAAACCTCGTGCGTGGGACCCGAAGTTTAGGTCATATGGATCTCTGAAGTTTCCAGATTGAGCATCCGAACACTTAAGGTCTAGCTGTCGAGGTTCGGATCACACATCTGAAACTTCAGTTCTTAAATCTGAAGTGCTTCGGTTTCCACATCCAAAAAACTTTGGTTCTCACATCTGAAGTACCTCAGATGTAAGAACTGAAGTACTTCAGATGTAAGAACTGTAGTTTCAGATGTCAGACCTGAACTTCGGCAGCTAGACCTTAATTGTTCAGATGCTCAATCCGAAAACTTCATAGATCCATATGACCTAAACTTCGGGTCCCACGCACGAAGTTTTTTTCTCCGTGTGGGAAGAGCTCCTTCATTCTTATTACCACTCTATGTACTTTTTGGTCCCACTCGAGCTTTCCTTCTGATGTTTTCACTTTTTTTGACTGCAGGGTCTGGCGAGCAGTCTGGCGACGGCGTTGAACTGGACGCTGACGTTCGTGGTAACGCGGTCGTACGCGCCGATGGAGAAGACGCTCGGGACGGACGTTACGTTTTGGCTCTTCGCCTGCATTTGCGCCATCGGCTTCGTCTTCGTCGTCCTCATCGTTCCCGAGACCAAGGGCAAGACCGTGGACCAGGTTCAACAGCTCCTCGCTGGCAAGAAGCCCGCCCGCAAGAACGGACTCGTCTAGGCCGTCCACCCGGCGGAGGCGGCTTCAACGAGCCTCGTTAAGCCACGCTTCCACAGGACCCGAACGACACGAGTGAGGTCGGGTCGGGCCACACTGAAAAAAATTCACGGCGTTTTTACCAAGGTCCGTTGGTACCTTTACCATCTCACTTTTTTTACCAATTATTGGTAATTTTACCAAGACAGACTGGTAAGCTTACCTAAAACCGGTATTTTTTACTGTTTTTTTTTCAGGTAAGAATACCACTTTTATTGGTAATCAATTCCCGGTAACTTTGCCATTTTATCTCGGTAATTCTACCACAGTCGATCAAAAATATTGGCGTTTTTACCGGGGTCCAGTAAAATTACCGAGAAAGTTCAATAATTTTACCGAGATTTCTCGGTAAAATTACCAATTCCATAAATGGTAATTTTACCAAGAAAAAACTGGGATCAAATAGAACCCTGAATTCTTGGTAATTTTACCTTTTTCTAAGTAAATACAACGAGATTTTCTTTTCAGTGCAGGGTGGCAAAATTTCATGGAAAATAAAATCTTGAAATTTCACGTGAAATATTTCATGAAACACCGGAAAATTATTAAAGATATTGAAAAATACCGGTTCCTCGTCTGCCACGCTAAGGAAGAACGCCGTATGAGCCTTTAAACGTTGCCTCATTTCTTTCGTTAAAGGTCGAATGTACTGAGACAATTGTAAATATTTTCCTCGATTTCTTACGCAATTTAGTCCAAAATATCCAAAAACTTTGAGGAAAAACGTGCATAAATTTCGTCAAAAATATCTGCTTCATCAAGGAAAGTTTAGCAACTCTCGAATGTTTAAATGGCGTTCTTCCTTGGTGCGGCAGTTTTCGTGTCCTCGCGCTCGTGTCGTGTCGCTCTGTGGAACCGTGGCTTTTTCACCGAGGCTTTGAATTGCGAATCAGCAGAGATTAAGAGATAAATCGACCTCCTACGCCTTAGAAGGACCTCAAAGACGACTATAAAGGGGCCTGAAATGAGCTGATTTTGCGCTGAGAGAGAAACGCTATAAATTTATTGAATCTAATAGTGTCGAACTTTGACATATGACACGAGTAAAAGAATCTCAGTCTTGTAAGAAGGTAAAAATTAAGTTATTGATACCGACGGATTGATTATTGAGAGTGATAGACAAAACAATAGACAAGAAAGACAAATAAAACTAAAAATTCCGCGATCCTATTGGTGGCAGTGGCGTGGCGTGCTGTGCGATATATCGATTGTTATGCCTATAAACCTATGAAAAAGGATCGATAGACAGGGTGTTCGCAGCGAACACCCTAAAAAATGCTACTCGGGATTTAAACCAAAATCGACACTTTAAGACTTTCCAGTGAATTTTCGTCAAAATCTCAATATCCGATTTTTCATCCCAACAAGATAAAAAGAGCACCTGGCTTATGATGATTCTGGTTTTTATTTAGAAGCGGGGAAATTTTACTGATTTTAATGTAAATTTTAAAAGCACTTGCCACTCACTTTGAAGTTGATTTTGACATGTTCAGCACGTCACATCAAACGTATTCTGTGCGAGAAAACATGTTTCATGGTACGAAATTAGATGTTCAAGTAAATATGCTCACTATTGTATTTGGTCTTTTTATCGCGGTTCATTTTTCGGTTTGCATCTGAGCTTTTCCTTTTATTGTCATTTAATCAGATTCTCTTATCTCTGCGTCGCATTTTCCAGTTTCTGTGCACAAAAAAAAGGTTACAAATTAGTCTCTGAAATTTATATACATTCCTATTACTTACTCAAAATTAATGCTCAAATGTGCCTCGGTCGCATCAGACTTATCCTGATTAATTTGATACGAGAGCACCAAAGAAACATTTGGTTTTCATTTTTCAAAAGCGGTAAAACGAAAAGTTGAGTTTCATATTATTTTCATTTCGTCAATTTAGAAAAAGAAAAGAAGGGAATCAAAGAAGATCATCTTTTGTGCTCCACAGTGTTATTATATTACTAATCCTGTGATAATAAGATGAAACTACCCCTAACAATAAGATATTTCTTTAATGAGAAATGTTTTTCTCGATGCAATTATGCATGTATTAATACACGGCCATAACAAAGTTTGCTTCAGATTGGAGACAATTCAAATATAACCAATTTTTTTAAATTTTGGAGTCAAATTCTGAAGTACTACAGCAAACTTTTTCAATTGAAAACGAACAACGAGTGAGAATTTGAATTCAAAAATCACTGCTCTTGCGTTTGCACCATCTTATAGGTGAGTTTGAAAGAAAACCAGACTTGGTTGCATGACTTGTGTTCGCAATTGAAATGAAATCTCATATTGTGCAATGAAGCCTTTAAATTTAGTGTGCTAGTATTATCGATAACTCTACACCAATCCAAATCCTCCCAGGTTCCTTAATATTACTAATAAACAACATAAATTTATTAGTTACGCAGGACTGATTTTCTGCGATCCATATTATGATGGCTTCAAAGAAATCTTTTGCCAGCCATCGTTCAATGAAAAATTTCTCACCGTTTCATCCTGGCGCACACCTTAATCTATTCTGACCAAAGTTGAAAACGCTCTCTTTGAAATAAATAAGAACTTCATTAAAATAACTTTTTTATGTCTGTGCGCCACTAAATAACATTGATTGATTTTTACATAATATTAAGAATAAATTATTATAATCTAGTGTTTAAATTTCGATAATTTATTACGTATACCATAAGACTTTTTATTGTTAAGTATTGTTAAGTTTGTTCTTTAATGAAGTTAGTCATGTATGAAAGAGGTTTTTATAAAATTGGTTCAAATCAATCGTTCATTTTTTCCACCCCTTCTAAGAAAAATAGTAAAATCAGGCATTTTATCAAATGCCTAGGCTGACAGTCAATTTTTCAAAGGTTACGAGGGTTATGTTTTCACGGAGATCTCTCGAATTTCGAATATCTGAAGTGTGAAAATCCATAAAAGTACAGACTGGTATTGAAATTCCCGTTCCGAAATGCTCCTCATATTTCGGCAACCGTCCAAATTATAAAAACTGTTTATTTTATAGAATGCTGTATATTTCGCGATGAATGTGCAATCCAAGACTATAAAAAACTTATCTATCATTGCATGGAGCACACTTTTACAGACGATTCCTTCCCACATGATCAGAGCATTATACTGTCTACAGTTAGCAAAATAATCAGAATTTCAGTCTAAGTAAAAATATTTGAGTATTTGCCTAGACATTTAACCAAATGCCTGATTTGACTATTTGCCTGCAACACATACGACTTGAAAGTTGTCTCGACGAATCGATCCAGCAATCCATGCAATGGCAAAATATAGGTTTCATTCGTAAAAGATTTTAGAAGCAAGGACTGGGCTCGGAGCGCCTTCAATTCCTTTGATACTCTACGCTTCAACATGTAGTTGGTTTAGTTGCCTATCCGACCCAAACTGAACCAAGAACATATTTCACAAATAAGCCAGCAGCTATCACCCACTTGAGGAGAAAAGGTGTTTATAACTATTCAGAGGAAATAATCGGCATTTCTTTCAGGCTCTTTATTTTTGAATATACATTCATGTATTCATTATTAAATGAATGAAAAATTTCCTAGATCGTCCATTGCCAGCGATATGCATTACCTATATTATAGCTGTATAACTACGGCTGAAGTTTAAAAATCCGTATCTCTCCTCACGGCGTTGAACTCTTCAAACATGCTTTATTTGCATTTGAAGAAAGTGAACTGACAATTTTTTTTGGAATAAATAGTGAGTTCCCTTCCCCAATTCAGCTAACACCAGAATAACAGAAATCATGCCGTTGAAGGGTTTTCGGAGGCCATGTGGAAAATGAAAACGCTTTCTCAAATAAAACAAAATTGTTTATTTACACATATGCAGAAAACTTAATAAGAAAAAACAAGAATTAGAGTATGTTCTTAATGTAAGTGCATTCGTTCAACTTTAAAAAAATAAAAATTAAATGTTGAAAAATGTTGCATATCGGCGGAAATTCTCCTTCGACTTCTGGCAAGATTCAGTCAAAGATCTCATCAGAAAGAAAGAATTGAATGAGGATAAGTTTTAAAAAAGAAAGGTCACTTACTGAAAACAAAATCCGCCGGGCTTTATCCATATCGACGTATTCAAGGATTACGATCACGAAACGTTTAATGTGGGGTCTCCCTCTCCATCCACTTTGAGAGCTATCAGCGAGTATGTATAACAATATCAAACGAAAGAAGGCTCCTATTAATTTATCATCAAGTTCAAAAACTGAATCGTTAATTTGTAAAAGAAAGTAAGCACCCTTTCAAAGAGAAAGATTCATTTATCGGCGCTCATGCCAAAATTTAGATATACATACATATGGGCTTTTGGTACCGATTCATCTTGTCAATTTATTGTATGTACTTCTGTCATGCCGCAATCACACGCTGAATGTGGGAGCTGAATGTGGCTTGAATGTGGAAATCATCGGCCCGATGCCTGAATTTTGCGCGTGACGCGCAAAATTCAGCAACGATTCTCAGCAACCATAATGTTGAATTTGTCTGAACTATTCGAGTAGATTTGGACTGCATTTTGCAATTTGGAACTATAAATTCTAGCCCGGTTTAAAAACAACGTATGTGCCATTAGTTTCCCTATGCACATACGTGTTTTTCCAGATCAGCCATAATTTATAGGTCCAAATTGCAAAATGCAGTCCATTTGATACTTATCTGGATGTAAATAACTAAAATTGCTAAATTTCAGCCGTTGGGCGATGACTGTTGACTTCCACATTCAGCTGCTAAATTCAGCGTGTGATTTGCGGCATGAGTGCCTATAAGATCGTTTACGAATATCCTTACGCACTTTATTTCTTCAATCTCTAGTAATCTATCCAAAATTCTGTCCGCAGAAGTGTATCACATACTTTTACCTTACAAAACTTGAGCAATAAAAATAATTTTCAGGTGACTTGAAAAATACGTTGATGAAAACTTGCTGTACAAGGTTAAAGTGCTTAATGTTTTATACGAGATCATAACAATAGCATATGTTCGCTTCAACAGATTCAAGGAGTATGATTTGAATAATAATGCACGAACAATAATTGAGAAAACTTACTTGACAAGTCTGATTTTTAACGAACCCTCTGATTCAAGATTGCATACTTTTTATAGATAAGCTTCCTCCCCAAGGAACTTCAGGATTCACCCAGTTTAGATAAAATGTCCGAGTCTCTAGTTTGAAAAGCTCTTAGTGCATCAGGTTTTTTTGATGAAACCCTACAAATTCAACGAGCAGATTTCGTATCTGTCATAAAAGTTGGTCTCTTTTCACCACCCTCTGCCCATTCAGTTTCAAAGTTACCTCTGCGTCTCCATATGCATTGTCTTGGAGAAAAAGGATGCCTTGTGAACATTCGAGTACTACCTCACCCACGATGGAACCACTCATTTTTAGAGGAAAATATCAATATTTCTCTCTCAAAGTTTTTAGCAGACTTGATCAAACGTTAAATATAATTATTTGAAAAGTTCAACGGAAAAAATGCACAAGTTTTTCCAGGAAATATATATTTTATCAAGAGAGAGGCAATGCCCGAATTTTCACGTTTGTCATAATTCCACACAGAGAAAATTTCGGTTGAAACAACTGAACTTTGATTCGTATTTCCTCCCTAATTTTTGCTTTAGTCTTCGAACTTTTCAGTCACAGAGACCGGTCGATTCAGATAACCAAAATTAGTGGCGTTGCATGCTTTGCGATATATCGATTGATCTGCCGGACGATCACCACAACGAACGATCCATGAACACCTCAATAATCGATGTTTTACCATATCCCTAAGTGGGAATATATCGATATATCGATAATCGATCATTCACGCCTCGTTACTGACCAAAACCTATTGTTGAGGATAGGGATCTTATGTGAGACTCGTAATTATTACTCAAGGCTTTGATGATTCGAATCAAGTTTGGCCTTTACGGCTGACAAACACAAAGTCGACCGAAAATCTTCGTGGGCCAGATGCATCAAAGTTCGGTTGTTTCGACCAACTTTTTTTCTGTGGGCTTGGCAGGCTGAACAAGATATCGTTCAGTGTTTCCTCTCTAATCTGCCGCCCTGAGGAAGAACGCCGTATGAGCCTTCAGGCGTTGCCACATTGCCTTCAATAAAAGAAATAATTTACGGGAAAAATTTTGAATACTATTTTTCTAATTTCTCAGGCAGTTTTGTTCACAATACTGCCGTGCTAAGGAAGAATGCCGTATGAACATTCATGAGTTGCCACATTTCCTTCGATAAAATGTTTATTTTTTAGAAAATTTATGCATGATTTCCCTTGAAATTTTCAGGAACTTTAGGTGAAATTGTGTGGAAAATTATCTGAAAAATCGAAAGGAAAGTATTCATAGATTCGTATGTTTCATCAAGGGGAATCAAGGGCCTAAAGGTCCATACGGCATTTTTCCTTAGCAAGTCAGAATATAATCTAAAACACCGAGAAAATTGAAAGAAAAGTATGCATAACTCTCCGCAAAAATAGACATTTTGTGGAACGGAATTTGGCAACTCTCAAATATTCATACGGCGTTTTTCATTAGCACGGCAATAATGACCTCCTTCCTCCTAATAGACGAGCTGAGGGAAAGTCTGACAGAAGTCGAATCCCTCCAAACGCACGGGCTCCCTCTTCCGCGGGCAAGAAAACACCCGACCGAGAACTCCGCAGCCGCAGGACTCAGCGCCATCTGGCGGCGATCCGGGCTCTGCGGATCACTGCTCCTCCGGCTGTTGGTCGTATTGTGCAAATTTCAGGAAGACCTGTTCCAGCGTCGTTTGGCTGAAGCTGTACTCCTCGACGTCCAGCTCGGTCTTGGCTTTCTCCAACTGCGTGAAGCATTCCGCTAGGGATTTCACCGCCCGTTGGGGGATGCTGAACAAGAGTCGGTCGACGAACGATTCGTCGAGAACCGCGTCTGAGAATAAGTTGTCGACGAATTGTTTCAGCGCCTCGTGCCGTTGCTGCGATGCCTCGACCGTTCCGTCCTGGTGCTTCAGCTTCATCTCTAGGTTGTAACCCGCTCCGTATAAGTTTTTCAAGTGTTGGGTTGAGCCTGTAATAATGATAGAGATCATTTTTGTTAATTTTTATCATCAAAAGGATATCAAGAAACGGATTGCATTTTGCAAAAAGAAACCAGGAGCATTGCAATATTGCTAAGATTGTGCAGCTGCTTTTGTCTTGGAAGGAACACCTGATTACCTCTGCACAGTTTCTATTTTACTCGCTAAAAATTGTAAATTTGGGACAAAAATTGCCATGTAAATTCCATATCGACGGTGAAAGTCGGCAATCACATAACTCGTTTGCGGTGTCTGAAAATCTCCGCCTCTACGTCATTTTTTTAAAGGAGAGCAAATTGACATTATTTCTTGAAGTTTTTGCAGAATTTTCTTCGCATTGAGAAGAAAAATCATGACAGTTTTAAAGAATTGCCGTTGAGTAGTTTTCCATTTAAAAAATAAAGTATGACAGGAAGTCTGCGACGTCGCAAACCGAGTTATGTGATTGCCGACTTACACCGTCGATATATTTTTAGCATATAAATCGTTATACCGCAATGGGTGAAGTTGCACTATCTTAGCAATGCTCCTGCGGTTTCTTTTTGCAAAATGCAATCCAAATATTTTGCAATCAAAGTTACAACATTGATAGAACTAGAGCAGTAGCGTGGCGTGCTTTGCGATGTATCGATTGATATGCCGTTTAAACCTGTGGAATAGGATCGACAGATAGGGTGTGCGCAAGGAACACCTTAAAAATCGATTCTTTACCATAGCGTCAAATGGGGGAATATCTATAGACGATCATTCACGCTTCGCCAACTTTTACAAGTTGGCCGCGTAGAGAAGGGAGGAACCAAGTCACATCAACCAGTGCCAGATTTCATCGAATTATTTTTTTCTTCTTTTTTTTACAGGAGGGCGGCTGTTTGGATTAGGTATTTTGAAATTTTCAGTGAATTAGGTTTGATCCATAGAGGAAATCTCCTAAATTATTCCTGCACAAGGCTACCGTTGAGGCATTTTCAATTTTAAAATTTCATCGTGCATAGTCTCTTGTTTAATTGCATTAGGTGTCATTGTAAATAACAGCAATTAAAAACTCAGCATCTACGCGCATAAATTTAACCCAAATCGTTCCGTTAAAGGGATTGGCTCTTTGCTAAAAAGTTCGATGTAAATATGACGGGTTTGCCGAATGCTATACAAATTATTTTGCAATGGAAATTAATTGTCCCCTTTGTGTTAGAGTGGGAATTTTTTGGATCTCATTTGTTTCGTCTCGCTTACTTCTTCTAAATGTACGAGCGCCCATGTTAATTTCAAAGTGATTTTTGTCTTGGTTTATGAAATGTATAGTCTCCAAAATGTATATATATGTATGTGACCCAGTTTGTAAACTGGGACCATTTCTTCAAGAAGAAAATTTCCCTCAACTTCTTTAAAAAAATATCGACCTCACTTTCTACAGCCTGAGAAGTTTTGTCTTGAAACTTCAGAACTCGTATCGATGGCTATGGTACGACACCACGTACCTCCAATGCTGTGTTTAAAAATCTCCGCTCCCAGTTTATTTTTTGGGGAAGGAACAAGTCAACTTTTTAGCTTGAAATTTACACAGAGTATTCTTGCTAACAGAGAGGAGAAATCAGGAAGTTTTCAAGAAATATCGTTGACTAGTTTTTCAAGGAAAAAATAAAGTATAACAGGAAGTCTGCAACGTTGCAAACGGAGATGAGTGGTCTCGCTTTTTCTGCCGTGCTGAGGGAGAACGCCGCATGAACATTCGAGAGTTGCCAAATCTCTTTCGATAAAATACTAATTTCTGTGGAAATTTATGAGTATTTTTTCTTGAAATTTTCAGGAACATTGGGTAAAATTGCGAAGATGATTAGCTGAAAAAAATGGATAAAAAATATTCGTAAGTTCGCCAGGAAATTCGTGTTTTTTCAAGTGAAATTTGGCAACGCCTGAGGGTTCATACGGCGTTCTTCCTTAGCACGGTAGTTTTAGCCATTGATATTTGGACTGAGTTAAGCAGAAAGGAACCAACCCACATATTGGAAAAAATTGAGTTATGAGTGGTTTTGAACTCAACCACTGCTCTACTATCCATCGCCAAAAATTCAAAGTTTTTGTCGGAGCAAATTTTGCAGAAATTGAACTTGAAGTTTATCTTTTATATCGAGTCTTATGCAGGAGCCAAACTTCAAACCTCTTTTTCTCGGTTCGATTCCGATGTGGCTTGGTTCCTTTCTGTTTAACTCCGTCCATTTTTCTCGCTATTTGAGCTTTTTTAGAGTCGAACAAAATTTCCCAAATTATCTTCCCCGTGTATATACAACAACCAAAAAAAGTCGAGAAAAATTTTCTTCTGGAAGACAAGGCCCCATTCCACAAATCCGATCACACATCCCAAGCTGTTTTAACCTACCTATACACCGCAGTTCTCCTCTAACCATAATTCCGACCCTGGAGCAGAGCGCGTCCGCCTCTTCCATCGACTGCGTCGTGAGGATCGCCCCTCGTCGTCCCTTAAAGCTAGCGATTATCGTGTCCCACAGGAAGCGTTTCGACTTGGGGTCCATCCCAGTGGACGGCTCGTCGAGGAGCACAACACAGGGATTGCCGATCATGGCCATGGCGAAGCTGAGCTTCCGGCGGGTGCCACCGGAGCAGTGCTGCGCCTCCTTGTTCGCGTGCTCGTGGATCTGGAGCCCCGTCAGGAAAGCGTCGACGACCTTGGGGATCTCCTCTTCGACGACCCCGCGGATCGCCGCGTAGACCTCCAGGTGCTCCCGGATCGTGATGTTCTTCCAGTGGACGTCGTGCTGCGGGCAGTATCCCAGCAACCGGAAGGCGTCGGAGACGTTCGACTCGATCTGCTCCCCGCCGATGAAGACGCGACCCCTCGTCGGGTGTTCCTCCGCGGTTACAATCTTCATCGTCGTCGTTTTGCCGGCACCGTTGTGGCCGAGCAACCCGAACACCTCTCCCGCGTCTACCGCCATCGATACGTTCTGGATGGCGATTTTCGTCGTCGGACCTCTCTTCTCCGGTTCGACGTCGACGCCCGTACACATCCCGACCATGCAGGAGGTTAGAAAATCCGTCTTGGTGCAGTATTCCTTTCGTAGGTTCTGGACCACTACAACCGGGGGGTCCGTTATCTTGGTGCTGAGCAACTGCGCGACCTTCGCTCTTTCAGCTTTGACGTCTTCGTCCTCGTGCTCGCCTTCCGGGAGTGGCGACTCCTCGACTTCCGTCGCGGTTGTAGGTTTGGACCCTAGTAGATTCCTGAAGAGCCCGCTCGCTTTTCCACCGGACTTCTTGACGTCCAGGACCAGGAGGATGAAGAACCAGAAGGGGATGTGGATGAGGATCCCGACCATCATGACTAAGATCTCCGTGGTGAGGTAGTTGCCGACGGTGAGGTACAGGCAGGCGCTGTTGACGCGGCAGGTGAGGTGGACCCGGTCGACGAAGTAGATGATGGCGTAGGGGATGTACATCGTGTTGAAGAGGGAGAAGATGATGTGGAGGATGAGGGCGAGGCGGCCGCCGAGCTGGAACATGTCCAGGAGGATGACCAGGAAGAAGGGGATGAGGCCCAGGAAGGTGGCGATGTTGGGGAGGATGGACTGGGCGGACTCGGTCTTGTCGAAGATGTAGGAGACGCAGGCGGAGAAGAGGATCGAGGCCGGGCAGTAGAGGATGACCAGGACGCCGAGGGTGCAGAAAGCGGGGGGCTCGCGAAGTGACGGGAGGTCGAAGACGAAGATCAGGACGAGGAGGGCTGAGAAGATTATGAAGAGGAGACCCACGAGGACGATGAAGTAGGTGCCGAAGTAGGCGGTCACAGAGAGGCCGTTCACGCGGAGCTGGTTCTTGGCTTTTATCTGAAAAAAAAACAAAAATTAAAAAAGGATGAAATAAGTATACGAATATAGAAATACAATATGAGTCTACGTCGCACATGTCTGTGAAGTTAGCACCCCGACTTTTAAAATTTAAAATTTTCTCTTTTGCTCATCATTGCTCATCATTTGTTCACCCCGAAAATCGCTTTCATTTTTTTTGCTCAGGCGTGTACCCCCCAAAAATCGAACTTGAACTTTCAGAGTGGTCATTGACCCTAGCACCCCGATTGACATGAAAATGGTCTCAAACGACGCAGAATCATTTGCTCACCTTTGCTCAGCCCTTAGTTTTTGTTGTTCACCCCTCCATCCCCCTCAAAATGAAAGGGGGCATTTTGGGGGACATCAAAGGCAGCACCCTCACTTTGTCACACATTTTAAAGTTCAATGGGTGCTCCTAGCATAACATTTTACGAGGAAACCAATGGAACCACTATTAGAACCTCAAAATTGTGTATAAACGGAGTTATAAGCGTGTAAAGTTTCCAAATTTTGTCCGACTTCTCCTATTGACTCGATCCACTGTGCGTCGTGTCGTTGAAAAAGGGCCGTGTTGATCGAGTCATTGCAGGAGAGACTTTTCGGGAAACATCTGATAAAAATACCGTTGTTTCCCGGACAGTGTAATGTTACTTAATTCTAACGTTGCCAAATTTCTTTTCACCTTTTACATTTACTTGGAGATTATCAAACATGTTTAACTGAAAATTTCACATATTTTTCTGTGGATTAGCGCAAACAATTAGCAGGATTTCGGACGAAAATTCGGCTGTCATTTTGATGGAAAAAACAGAGCTGTGTTTGTAAATTTTGCAACCTTGGAATGGAGATACGTTCTTTCATCAGGGAAACGACGAATCGACGATATATCTAGCGATTTGTCGAAATGCCGATATATCGATACAGTTATACATACTCGATTTGCTGATGCTCAATTGATAATCCAAGATATTCAGAGTCCAAACATCTACTAGCGGAAAGACGAGCAATATTTTAGTCCAAATTTGGATGTATGTAAAAAAATTTTAATTTTTTAGACGCAAAAAAAAAAAAAAACGCATTGAAGTTGAATTTTCACTGCAGTGAAGCATGCATTAACGTTGCTCAGTTTTCTTTCGAGAAGCTGAATGTAATGAAAGATTTCAAAAATTGTCTACAGAAGATAATTTTTCGTGATGCGTGACTCACCTCTCGATCATAGACCATGTCTGTGGCAAGGCTTATCGGAATCAGAACGAATATCATGCCCAAAAAAATCGCGCTGCTAGTTGTCCCCGAATTGAAACCCTCCGGCTTAGAAGTTGCCTGGAACGGGAATGATCGTGCGTTGATTGGTTCAATACTGTCATTTAAATTTTTATGGGTTACCATCCTGAAACAAATATTTATAGCAGAATTATTGCATGAACTGAAACGTAACATGAATTTTTAAATATGTTGCATCGAAACTGCTCCACTCTGCGTCTGCGACTATGTTGGTTTTTTTTTCTTTTCCATTGCAGTTTTTGCAAAGAATATCAGTCAATATTTTCGATAGAAAAGTTCTACCATTCCGTACTCATTCTTAAAACAGAGAAAAAGAAAAAAGAAGAAAAAGACATTTGGAGATCACCGAATGAAAATCTTTGGCGATGGTCAATGACAAGAGAGAATACATGAGATATATCTGCAACGTCGCAATGGAGTTGAGTGGTTTCCAAAACAAATCATGTCGATTTTGCAATTTGCTGGAAGCACTTATTCCGCTGAACTTTGAAAAAGAGGCCTTATTATTTTCGTAACCTCGGGTGAAATTGCGCTCCCTTAATGTACGTCGTGCGTGGAGGGTGTAGGGAATCGGCCTCCCAGAAAATGTTTAAAACATAACATGTCTAAATCGCATTCTGCTGCTATTTTCGACCTCAACTTATTATAAACAGGAGAAAAACAAGGGGGAAAAAACGGGAAACAAGACTAAAATACAACACTAAAAAACCCCGATGTTACTTGCTTTTCTCGGATTTTGGCCACTAACATGTAGGTATCAGGTTCCTTCCTCGATATTCATTTATTTCATTTCTTTTCTGACTAAAATGACTCAGTTTTTAGTCGAAGCGTCTCGGGGTTTTTAATTGTTGTATTTCAGCATTGTTTCCCGTTTTCCTTCTTTGTTTTTTCTCCAGGAATTGCGGGTCTTGGGCTGATTCGTAAAAAATTGTAGTTTATTATAAACTTTCTTCATTTGTTTTTCCCTTTTTGTCCATAATACCCACAATTTATCGATGTCATTGAACCTTACATCATTATTTTTGCTTCTTTTTACTATCATTTTTTTAAATTAGTGTGTGAATTCATGTTTGCGGGGCACCAGCCGAGCTGCCAGCGCGGCGTGGCGCTCCGAAAGCTTGGCGCCCCGGAAGCTTGGCGCCCCGGAAGCTTGGCGCCCCTGCGGGCTGATTATTAAAACTTATAGACAAAGCTATAGACAAACACGACAAAAGGGATTTGGAGGGATCCTACTGGTGGAAGCAGGTGGTGGTAATGGACATAGGAAGTAGGTAATAGACTAACTAACGGCAACCCTTTAAAGACCCGACAGTTGGTCCATCATTTTCTTCCTTAGTCTATAAGAACCAACCATGTCAACCAAAAGGATCGCTCCATACTCCCTATGTCTTCTTTGTCTATCGCTTTGTCTATCAGTTTCAATAATCGGCCCGCAGGGCAGTCGCCTATGTAGGTAACTGCTAGAGTTACGCCTTCGACAGGCGACGGGTCCCTTTCAAAAATAGGAATTCTGTTTTTTCGTTTTTTGTTTTTTTTAATTTCCAGGAAGGCTAAGGATCTCACTTGTAAACAGCATTGTTGATAGAGTTGAGAAGGCTCGGGAGCGAGTGTTGAGCTGTGTCGTTGTACAAAAGAGTGAGGGAAGTATTGTGCAGTTGACAGCATTTATCGAAATTTATCGCCCCGACATGTGGTGAGATGTCCAGGAGGGACGAGAAATTCCCATCGTACCACTCGTGGCCGGCGTCTAGATGATTCAGCAACCCGTCTATTGAATGATTCGTCCCGTTGAAAAGCATCAGGTCTTCGGCCGCTCTGTATGTGTCTGTCGCAGATGATAGGATAGGTTCATTAGTATTAGAGCGTTCCATTTTATAAAGACAAAAGAGAGGCTTGGAGGACAAGGCGCATAAGTGCAGTTTTCGAAAAAATTGAGGTATTTATGAACACAATAAAAGCTAGTTTGAAAATATATTCTGTGAAAAATTCACGACTAAAATCCAACTTTAAAGCATCAAAAAGTGAGTTGAGACTTCCTTTCTGCCATAAGGCACGGGATAGGGTAGGTTTATTAGTATTAGAGCGTTTCATTTTATAAAGATAAACACTGGAAAAAAAGAATCTTAAATTTGCCGCCAAGAAATATTTTTTCTTAAATCAAGAATTTTGCTGTTTAACAGAAACTACTTTTTCGCTTAATCCAAGCATTATTTTGCTTGTATCAAGAAAAATTCAGCTTAAATCAAGATACAACGAATTCTTGGCGGCAAATTCAAGAATTATCAGGCTTGAGCCAAGCACCTTTTTTTTCAGTGAAAGAGGGGCTTGGAGGACAAGGCGCATAAGTGCAGTTTTCGAAAAAATTGAGATATTTATGAACACAATAAAAGCTAGTTTGAAAATATATTCTGTGAAAAATTCACGAATAAAATCCAACTTTAAAACATCAAAAAGTGAGTTTAAACTTCCTTTCTGCCATAAGGCTCCATGTAATTTTGAAACTTTGCACAAGTATTTCTTGAAATAGCAAAAACTGCACTTATGCACCTTGTCCTCCAAGCCCCTTAAATCTGGATGATTAGGATATCTTTTTTTTTCTTCAAAGATAAAAAAGTAAACTCAGGAAATTTAATTTTACAACGTAAAATACATTAAATTTTTGAAAGTTTAGTCATTAGTGTTTGTGGACAGGCGGTGGCGATTCTACGAATTGGCAAACTATTNGCAAAGTGTCAAGAATTGCCGCCGTGGACAAAGCGCTTAAAGAGGTAATGGCATTTGTTTACAAAATTATAGGTCAAACTGCAGAAAATCACACCAAACTGTATTTTCTTAGAGAAAAAATTAAATAGAAAAAAATAAGTAGGTATCCTCAATATTTTTGTATAAGAATGTGAGGAGAAGTAAAGTTCAGAAAATTTCATTGGAAATAGAGTCTTGGATCCTATTTTTAGACTCTTAAACAATGTGACAAGAAAAAATTCTTGATTCAATTAGTTTTTTTGCTGGAATTGGGAGTCAAGCCTCTCAATTTTAGGGGATTTCCTTTTGCGTCTAGCAAACGTCCGATTGAATTAAGATAATTTTTCTCGTCACATTTTTTGAGAGTCTAGACTCTGCATCCAAGAGACTTTTTTTCCTGTGTTCTGCTGCTAGGATTTACACGAATTTTTCAACAAACGCGTATAAGTAGGTAGTCTTAGGCAAGCTGAAAATCCAAAAAAAGAAAAAAGAATTGAAAAATGTTTGAATTTCGCACTTTTGCCACAAACCCGATTTAGTTTCAATAAGGCTCTGATACGCATTGTTGGCGTGTGTTTTTTTTATTTCAGTCCGCACAATGCTTTCTTAAAGTTCAAGGGACACTGGAAAAAAGTCGCTTTGATGTAGTGTCCAGATTCGTAAAAACATTGACCAGAAAAATTATTCTTAATTCAATCGGATGTTTCCTTGAATCGAAGAGCCAAGCCTCTGAATTCAAGCGGATTTCCTTTCGATTCAAGCAAAACTCCGATTGAATCAAGAGTTTTTTTCTTGTCAATGTTTTCAAGAGTCTGGACTCTAGATCCAAGCGACGGTTTTTCCAGTGAAGAATCGAATTTCATTCCCAGTGCTGAAATGCATACCTTTGCCTAGATGCAAGGATTTCGACTTAATCTCGACGCTATGAATTTTGTTCATGTACAGTCCGATGGCCGAGAGGATTAAAGGCACGACAATGGTCACATAAAGTTTTTGAAGGTCCCGCAGCAGGCGGAGAACCCTCAATCGGAGCATGGCCTTGATGATTTGACGCGGTTTTTGTTGGAGCGTCACGTCATCCAGACCGATCCCAATTGCGTCCGATATTTTCTGGGACACCGGTACCACACCATCGAGGGCCAGCAGCTCCGCACCTGCAAAATAAATAAACAAAGAAATGCAAGGGAAAGTAAAGGATGAGAAAACTACACAAAGAAAATTAGGTCTCGTGCGATTGGTTACGGAAAAAGATATACTTGGAGCAAAAATCCGTTATATTTGAAATGGAGGTGTGCCCTGGAAAAAAAAAAAAACACATTGGATCTAGAGTAGAGTCCAGACTCTTAAAAACATCGACGAGAAAAAATACTCTTGATTCAATCGGATTTTTGCGTAAATTAAGAACCAAGCCTCTTAATTTGAGCGGATTTCCTTTTGATTTAAGCTTAAATCTGGTTTAATCAAGAGTATTTCTTGCAGAGGAAAGTAAAGGATGAGAAAACTACACGAAGAAAATTAGGTCTCGTGCGGTTGGTTACGGAAAAAGATACTTGGAGCAAAAATCCGTTATATTTGAAATGGAGGTGTGCCCTGGAAAAAAAACACATTGGATCTAGAGTAGAGTCCAGACTCTTAAAAACATCGACGAGAAAAAATACTCTTGATTCAATCGGATTTTTGCTTAAATTAAGAACCAAGCCTCTTAATTTGAGCGGTCTTCCTTTTGATTTAAGCTTAAATCTGGTTTAATCAAGAGTATTTTTTCTTGTCAATGTTTTCAAGAGTCTTGACTCTAGATCCAATGTGCTTTTTTTTCCAGTGTGAGGTGCAAAAATGGCCCGAGTAGCGGAATCGTGCTTCCACACAACAACGATGAAGATGATTCGACGGACGCCATTTTTGTGTCAGAGTGGCGTGCGATGTATCGCATCAATTTGTTCCATAATTTCAGCTACTTGTCTTTTGTTTCAAATTTTTAGATCGAACTTCTGTTGTCATGAGTTTACAGAATTAATGTCCTAAATTCGACAAAGAAATTCAACGTAATAAAAGCAGGGTTTTTTTATAGAAAAATATTGCATTCGAGTGCATTTCCGGTATCAGTATCGAATGCATTATTTTTCCTCTAAAATGCCCTGCCATTTATTACGTCGAATTTCTTTGTCAAATTTGGTACATGAATTCAACAGACAACAGAAGTGCGATCTCAAAATTCTAAAAAACGACAAGTAGCTGAAATTATGGACCGAATCGATGCGATATATCGCACGCTGCTCTGACACTAAAAATGGTGTCCACCGAATCACCTTAACTCGTAAATATACAATTTATTGTGACAATTTATGACAGAGTCGGATTGAAAACATCATAAGTACAAGAGGAATGGACCCAAAATTAAGCGGTATAGTAGCACTAAAACCTTCTTCAAACACTGAAAAAAAAGATTGGTAGAATTTACCATTTATTCACGCAGTATTTCACACATAGCGTCAATTCAGAGTCAATTCTGCCAGAAGAAAGGTAAACGTTACTATACTGGCACAGGTAACCATTCTTCTGGCAGAATCGACTTTAAATTCACGCTGTGTAAAATACAGCGTGAAGGGATGGTAAATTCTACCGATCTCTTTTTTTCAGTGAAAGTTGGAAAATACACTGGAATTCTTTAATTTATACTATTTTCTCAGATTTATCAGGACAGCTTATTTAGTTGGACTAACCTCGTGTCGGGTCGTTTATATCCGTCGCCAACTCGGAATTATTATTCGGTAAACTTGCGTATGAGGCCTTCGACTGGAGCGAGATAGAACGGCTAATTGCACGGTTCCTTACAATTTTCTTCGATAGATTATCCATGGGTAGATCATTTTCTTCGTCCTTTTCGAGATGTAAGAAAACCTGCAAAGCATGAGAAAATGGGTGATTAATGTTGTATCTAACTGTGTATGATTCGATTTTCATTTACACAATTTGCCGTGCCATTGCTTCATTTTTCCTGAAATATTATTAGTTATCTTTCTTGACTCGGCGTTTAAGTCTCCGTGACAAAAAGGTCTGTGGACGACTTAAAGATGCAAACTTAAGCATTTTGTTCCATGTTTTATCATCAAAATTTCACGTTCAGTAATTTTAGTTGCGCAAATGGGCCTGTTGCACGCAAGAGATACAGCCGTGCAAATAGACTTTTTAGAGGTTAAATGATACGAAAATTACGATGGTCACATTAAAAAAGTCTGAAATACACTCCTTACTGCGCAATTTGCGTTATTAGGAACGCGCTTTTTCAAATTTCCCGCGTCGGGGGGCAGTTTTCTAACAGAAACAATTAACTAGAGTCCCTTTATAATGAGAGTCAAGACAATTCGGCTCATGGATGTCACAAACGGGAATAAAGATTACAGAAATTGAACGTTTTTCGTAATCTTTGATCGGCCCATTCTCAAATGCCTTTCTCCGTTCCTCCTCTCATTCCGTTTGTTCCTTGCCGAACCCGTAATTCCCTGGTCCATTCCAGATTATAATCTTTGCAATGGACCACTAGACAAGGTACGAATTGCAGCATTCTGATACATGTTTCTTGACTAAAATTTCACGTAAAACACGACGCGCACAACAAAAATTACCGAAATCAACTCCTTACGAAGATATTTAATGATTCTCGATGCGTGAATTCAAACCACCCGCTCATGAAAACTCAATGCTCTACGTGATTCACATCGCGCGCTTAATGTTTATCATGACAGTCTCTGCGATGTAAAAATCTTCAACTTCAATCTTGACACTTTAGCCCAGCTATAGCAAATTACCAATAGTTTGAACAACACATGATGGAAAATGAACATTGCTCGATTGAGAAGCTTGCTGAAACCGTTGTAGTGCGCGATTTGACTCACGTAGAGCTTTGAGTTTCTTGTGAGCGGACAGTTCAAATTCCTCGTGATCAGTGCGAAATAAAAACGTTAATATCTTCGTTAGAAGTTGATTTCGGTAATTTTCGTAGTGTGAATCGTGTTTTACGTGAAATTCTAGTTAAGATTCATGTATCAGAATGCTTAAATTCGTACCTTGTCTAGTGGTCCATTGGTGAAAATGTAATCTTAATTCCCGTTTGTGACACTGTGGAGGCCTAAAATACGGGAACCAATCAGAAATGGATTCAAATTGTCTTGACTCTCAGTATAAAGGGACTCTACAATTAACGGCAACTCGCGGCTATTTCCGGTCAACTAAAACTGACAACATAACCTAAAAATCGGAGCTCGTGATATCGTGAAATGAAATGTAGAAGGATTGCGTTGGATATTTAAAAGTTGATCGATTTGGTTACCGCATAAAACGTATATGGACCACTATGAGAGATCACGTTGGGTTTGTAAACAAACTGAAGGAAAAAATAACAACAACAACAACAACGACTCGGCATCTTCCGGAAATCACCGAGCCCGCCGTTTGCTCGTTTCCGGTGATCAGAAAACTGCCCCCAGACGCGGGAAATTTGAAAAAGCGCGTTCCTAACAACGCAAATTGCGCAGTAAGGAGTGTATTTCAGACTTTTTCAATGTGACCATCGTAATTTTCGTGTCATTTAACCTCTAAATAGTCTATTCGCACGGCTGTATCTCTTGCATGCAACAGGCCCATTGTGTTCTTCATGGGATTTTGCAGAGAGAACACACATGAAAGTGCAACTTTTTGAATTGTCAACTTCTAGCAACCGCATCAAATTAAAAACTATATATGAGTCAAACTCAAAACCTCTAAAATCTCTATATTCGTAGCTTCAAAATCACTGATGGCCTAATACTTTACATGTTAATATAGGATTTTTTATTTCATCCATTAAATACAAAATTCGAATAGACGGAAAAGTTGGAAAAACTAAAATTACCAAAGGTAAAATTGTTGTTTTTTAACTTTTGGTTGATTAGTAAATACCGGTGTTATAAATTGTTTATAGTAAAGACAAAGATAATTAGTTTAATCATTTTATCAGTGTTCTAACACTGGAAAAAAAATTAGATTGGATCTGGAGCCCAGACTCTTGAAAACATTGACAAGAAGAAAACACTCTTGATTCAATCGGATTTTTGCTTGAATCAAAACGAAATCCGCTTAAAGTAAGAGGCTTGGTTCGTGATTTAATTTAGATTTTGATTGAATCAAGAGTACTTTTTCTTGTCCATGTTTTTAAGAGTCTGGCCTCCAGATCCAATGTGTTTTTTTTTCCCAGTGAATCTGTCTACTGGACGAACTCAACAACTGGAATGTAGGTTACTCCATTTTACAATGCCTTACTACCTCTCACGTTGTATTCTTGAGCAAAAAACTACTTTAGATTTTTGACTCTTTATGAATTTTAGCATAGATTATGAAGAATTTATTGCCCAAATTTTAAGTTTCAGTGTTCCTTGGTTTATTGCTTTAAAAATGAAACATCTGAGAAAGTCAGATAACATTCGAGGTAGTTAGACTAATTGGACGTATTTCTATCAAACGGAACTGTGTGCATCTAGACATGATCCCTAGGACCCATAAGAATACATGCAGGGCTCATGTCAAAATGCACCTAGTTCCGTGACAGAAATACGTCCAATTTCGAATAAATAGTCCAATTATTGTGTCATTCTCATGGAGTAAAAATTCACCGAACATATACTATTTCGGTAAGTTAATGCAAGAGGTAGTCCTGTATAATACTGTCGTGCTAAGGAAGAACGCCGTAAGAATATTTGAGGCCCAAAAAGTGGATCGAGTCAATTAGAGAGTTTGGACATGAAATGTTTGACTATAACTGCAAATTTTGGTGTTTATTTCGTCACAATAAACATTTTAAGGGGTGCTTCCAGAAGAAAATTTTACGAGGAAATCAATGTACCAACCACTTTCAGGGCCTCAAAGTGTTGTACAAACGGAGTTATAAAGCGTTTGAAGTTTCCAAATTTTGTCCGACCTCTCCTATTGACTCAATCCACTGTGCATCGGTATGATCTTTCAAAAAGAACTCACCTCTTCGAGCGTCGTCATGGACACCCCATAGCTACTGATCCCTAGTTTCAGCTTCTTATCCTTGATTTCTTCCTCGATCTCGAGGAAGAGGGACGCGAAGTGGTCGACGGCGTTGTGCGGGAGGATGAAGGAGAGCTCTCTCCCGTGGCGTCGCGCCTTTTCCGCCCTTGAGACATGCGACGAGACCATGTTGGCGATCGCACCCTCTTTCGCCACGGAATCCAGGACAAGCCTGAAAAAATTCACAAGTTAATATGCAAAGATTTTAGAAATTAATTCTCCAGAATTTTTTCCCATGTCTCCATTTTTTTTGCTTATCACACCTTTAAAGTCGGTTCCTAGTCTCATATAACCTCCATCCGATAGAAACACACTAGTCTAAAGTTGGCTGCAGGTGCTTAGTCACAAAGCCATTAAACAACAGAAAAAAAAGAAAAAAAAATTCTCCAGATTTATCTGAAGAGGTTCAGTACCTGTATACGGGAAAGTATTGCCATCTCTGTGCCGCAATCTGATTGGTTTATCAGTTTCAGGCTATCATAGAGCTTCAAAGTTGGACCCGGTAAACAAACCCCACCCAGATGGACGCGTATCATCGGCTGAGAAATGAATGAAAATTACACTCAAAGGTTAATTTATGGCATAGATATCCATCAAAGTTCGATCCGAACTCAATTCAGAAGTTGGATATTAAAAAATTCCAAAATCACGTCTGGAACTCTGTAGGACTTTTTCGCCATCTTGTTTGTTTACATTGGGCCAAACTAGGAGTGCAGGGGCTGGGGTTTGTTTACATTGGTCCAACTTTGCAGATCCATGATAGCCTAAAACTGATGAGCCAATCAGAGAGTGGCACAGAGACAGCAATACTCTCCTGTATGCAGGTACTCTATGTTGATGAGTAATACATCACACTTATTCCACTAACACCCGAACAGTTTGTCACCTTCTGGCTTCTGGCCAAAGTATCACAAGCGCCATGGGGCGTTTAAAAATTTCCGCCGCCATTTTATTTTTTACGGAGAAATTTTTCAACGCAGCTCTCCGAAAATTCACTGAATTTTATTTGTGCTCCCGATAAAATCCAGTGGAATTTTCAAACAGATTCAACCAAAAATTTCTCTAAATAAATAGGATGGCGACGGAAATTTTTAAACGTCGCATGGCGCTTGTGATGCTTTGGCCGGAAGGTGACGAATTCAACCTGGAATTTTGATGTTTCACTGGAAAAAACCCTTTGGATCTAGAGTCCAGACTCTTAAAAACATCGACAAGAAAAATACTCTTAATTCAATCGATGTTTGCTTAAATCAAGAACCAAGCCTCTTAATATGAGCGGATTTCCTTTTGATTTAAAACAAAAATCTGATTGAATCAAGAGTATTTTTTCTTGTCAATGTTTTCAAGAGTCTGGACTCTAGATCCAATGTGTTTTTTTTTTCAGTGTTCAACTTAGAATATGACACATAGTGTCATACAAATCTAGCGAATTGATATCTAAAATCGCCGACGTATGGATTTTCCTTGTTTCCGAGATATTTTCGATGAAAAATGAACCGCGTGTTATCAATACTGTAAGCTCTCAAGCCTCTTAATTTTCACTTCTGGTGACGCTTAGTTCCAGCATTCCCAAAGGCCGATTCATATGATTTTTGCCCGTATCAACAGGTGATGGTCTTCAGATGAGTACACTCTATTCAAATTTTGGAAATATGGCCCAGTTTCTTTTATATTACATAGTAAAATTGCGAATGCTCCCATTTAAGCAACACTGAAAAAAAAAAACACATTGGATCTAGAGCCCAGACTCTTAAAAATATCGACAAGAAAAAATACTCTTGATTCGATCAGATTTAAGCTAAAATCAAGAACCCAGCCTCTTAATTTGAGCGGATTTCCTTTTCATTTAAGCGTAAATCTGATGGAATCAAGATTCTTTTTTCTTGTCAATGTTTTCTTAAAGAGTCTGGACTCTAAATCCCACGTGTTTTTTTTTTCCCAGTGAATGTAAATTTTCATTTTTTGTCACAGTTCGTTCTAACGTTCTACTGGGTCAATTTCCATAATTTTAAGGTCTATCGACAGGTGGTAGTCCTTACATGAGCCCGCTCTCTGCAAATTTTGGAAATATTACCCAGGTTGTTTATATTGGGGTGGACTGGAGGGGGGGGGCGAACAAGGTAAGGGGAAATAAGCAAACTTTAAACTTCCCGCCGTTGAATAGGGGGAATTTAAAATTTTGCAGTAAATTCTCGCATTCAGACGATATAAATTTTCATTCTTTGTGTGCTAAAGTTCACTCGGAAGATTAACCGGGCCGATTTTCATAGTATTTGCGGCTACTAATGAGAGATAGTCCCACTCTGCTTCGATTACGTCACAAGGGACGCGCGGTGGCTCGAGTCAATGGGAGAGGTCGGACATAAGATTGTTGACAAAAACTGCGAATTTTAACTTTATTTCGTTACATTTTAAAGTTCAAAGACTGCTTCTTGAAGAAAATTTCACGAAGAAACCAACGAAGCCACTTTGAGAACCTCAAAGTTTTGTATAAACGGAGTTATAAGCATTTAAAGTTTCCAAATTTTGTCCGACCTGGACCTCTCTTATTGACTTGATCTATTGTGAGACGTCGAAGCGGGCCTTGGAGGGCGCGAAGCGCCCTCACGGGGTTCGGCCGCGTAGCGGCCACGGGGTTTAAGCTTCCCAGTTTCTATAAGGATCCTAGAGAGGGGGCACGAGGAAGATGAGCCAATCAGAGACGACTCGTATAAGTCGAAGGTGCCAATTATGTGCCATTTAGCCCTTTCTGTTCTTGTTTCTCTTTGCTGGGGAGACCAGGGGATGAAAGGACAAACGACCAGGCCAATGCCGGCGCCTCAACTCTTCAACAATAAGACTCGGCCGGTCAGCTTGCTCTACCCCTCAGCCACCACCTTCAGCGCCTTACTACACATACAGGCAACCTCCCCCTCTTTTGGGACAACCATCCCTCCATCAGGGTCCTCGGCGTTCATCTTAAATATTGACCATATATTGACCATCAGTTCAGTCAAACACGCTCTCCGGTTCGGTCCTGCTGTCAGTCTTATCGGTATTAGTTTTATCAGTCTATCGGTCAGTCTTTGAATAGTGTTTTGAGTACATTTCTAGTATTTATTTCGTATAGTTTTTCGTGTTCTCTAGTTTCTATAGTTTTCTAGTTCACCGAAAGAAACCTCGCGTGTTTGCGCCGCCCAGCAGGTTAGTCGTGAGTTTATTTTCGCAATTTTTAGCATTGATTTTAAATTCACCAGTTCTCTTAAATGTAAGCAAAGTAAGAGAATCAACTGGACGCAAATTTTGTCTTGCCTATTAGTCGTGAGTTTTTTTTCGCAATTTCAAGCATTCATCTTAAATTCACCAGTTCTCTTAAATGTAAGCAAAGTAAGAGGACTGACTGAACGCAAATTTTCCGCTTTCATCTTTTTTTCTTTTTCTTTAAAAACAAAATTGCTGTATGAGCTGCATCAAAAATGCTGAATAGCTGTTACATGGCGATGTGCATTATTAGCGTGGATTTCATTTGCAAGCCAAATAATTTTATGTTTTGTGTTTTAAAACTTGTATTTGTTTTCGAATACACGTTATATTATATTATGTGTCGTCTCCACGGCAAATTTAAGTTTTGAAAATAATAATAAAATTATAGATGCCGACGACACTAAAGATTCTTACAACTTACTCATTTGCACGCATAGATTTTAATTTTAAAATTAATATGAGGAAGTGAATAAGTATCGAATAAGTATTGAATCTGCCTACCTATAGTGTCCCTATAGTTATTGTATAGAAATGGCAAAGTAAAGTTTACAAGAGGAGGTCAAAGAAAATGAACAGGCAAATAAATTCTCAATTATGTAAAATACCATCGTTTACAGACGGTTCGCGAAAATTGCTTGAATGTTAATGTGTGTATTTCAATTCTACCTCCGTGCTTTCATATATTCTGAAGGTAATTCGATGGACGTCTTATTTTGTGTCAGAGCGACATGCGATATATCGCATCGATTAGTTCCATTTTTTAAGCAACTCTTCATTTTTCTCGAATTTTTAGATCTCAATTCTGTTGTCAGATTTAAATGCCAATTTTGACAAACAATTTCAACGTAATAAATGCGTGTTTTTTTAGAGGAAAAGTATAACATTCAAGTGTACTTTCAATAACATTATCGAATGCTCATATTTTTCCTCAAAAAAAAAAAAAAAAAAAAAAAAAAAAAAAAAAAACCACACCTATATTACGTTGAATTTGTTTGTCAAAATTGGTAAGTGAATTCTTTTATCTCCTGACAGCAGAATTGAGATCTGAAAATTGGAGAAAAATGACGAGTTGCTGAAAAAATGGAATTATTCCGACACAATATATGGCGTCATCGAATCACCTTAAATTACGCAGGTTTCGATAACTGTCTGATTTTACTTCAATTTTGAATCCAAGAACCCTATTGCATTCTACAGGTTGATGAGGTGATGCGACCACTTATTTTCTTGCCTCTCGTTAAAGTCTCTTTTGGTATCGCATAAAACCCCTCGAAAAAAATTCATACTGGTTTCGTTTAAATTAAATACAGTATTTAATGTGATTTTGCATAGCCCGAAAGAAGCAAGAAAGAGAAGGAATGAATAGTAAAATAAACAGCTAAGGTGATTCTATGGACGCCATTTATTGTAGCAGAACGACATACAATATACCGCATCGACTAGTTCCATTTTTTCAGCAACTCGTCATTTTTATGGAATTTTCAGATCTCAATTCTGATGTCAGGAGATCAAAGAATTCTCTTACTAATTTTAACAAACAAATTCAAATGTAATGTAGGTGTAGTTTTTTAGAGGTAAAATATAGCATTCGATACTGTAGTTGAAACTGCACTCGAATGCGATATTTTTCCTCTAAAAAAACGCCTTTATATTACGTTGAATTTTTTTGTCAAAATCGGTGAGTGAATGCTTTAATATCCTGAGAACAGAATTAATATCTGAAAATTCGATACAAATGACGGGAGTTGCTGAAAAAGTGGAACTAATCGATGCGATATATCGTTTGTCGTTCTGCCACAATACATGCCGTCCATCGAATCACCTTAACTGTTTACTTTACTTTCCATTCCTTCTCTTTCACTTTCTTTTGGCCGCTTTCGGGGTATGCAAAATCACATTAAATACTGTATTTAATTTAACGGATCCAGTCTCAATTATTTTCGAGAGATTTTAAGCGACACCAAATCTCAAGGGAGACTTCAACGAAAGGGAAGAAAGGTGGTTGCATCACCCCATCAACCTGTAGAATACAACAGGGCTTTCGGATTCAAAATTGAAGGGAAATCAGACGGTAATCGAAACTTGCGTAATTTTTGACGTCAATAACGAGTTTTTGGTTTCCCGACTAATTTTTCTTGTGCTTACTTGGAAACTCTATATTCCGCACTAGAAAAAAAGTCGCCTGAATCGAGGGTCCAGACTCTTAAAAACATTGACAAGAAAAAATACTCTTGATTCAATTGGATTTTATGCTCGAAGCAAAAGGAAATCCGGCTGAATCAAGAGGCTCGGCTACACGGCTCAAGGAAAAATTTAGTTGAATCAAGAGTATATTTTCTTTTCAATGTTATTAAGATTCTGGACTCTAGATCCAAGCGACTTTTTTTTTCCATTGCGCGAAAAATTACGTTCCCCCAGAATTTTATTTCTCTCGGCGTGACTCCAACTTAATATTCCAATGCAAAGTGCCTTAGCTGAACACTCTCCCCCTTCAGTTTCGTACTGGTACGCATTAGAGCTCGAGAAATTGAATATTGACTCAAATTATAATTTTTGGAACTTCTTGGCTTTATGGTGTGGACCCAGCACCATTTCTCCACCTTGTAACATACAATTCGGGCCACTTCTGATAGTGTTTTTTTTTTCACTTGTTTTATTCATAGTAAAGAAACATGACCCAGATTTTTGTGGATTACACCCTAAAAATGTGAATGCTCCCTTTTGAGCAGCGCGTGAATTCCCATTTTTAGTCACCGTTCGTTCTAAAGATCGAAACGTCCCTATTTTCTTAACTTTTGCGGCTATGGATTGGATATGCTCTCTAAATAATATCAAGATAGGGAGGGGATGCTAAGCGGGCCTTAGAGGGTATGAAATTCTATGTACGGGGTCGCGCCTTTGTGCCCATTAGTTATCGACTAAATAAGCTGATCTTTGTCTTATTTTCGAACGCTAATTTTCCTGCCTCTCAGAGAAGACCTAGTAAAAGCTATTGAATGGCTATTTTGATGTTAGAGCATCTGTAACACTACTTTATGAGCACCCTATACAGAGTGTCCAAGAGTTAATGCGTCAGATATCAGGGATCGAGTTTTAGGATTTTGTTCTCTAAAAATTTTTCTGAAAGCACTTTTTTTCGACGATACAGCCCATCCAAGTAGAGGATATTTTCCCGAAATTAGCCCATATCAGTTTCAAAGCTTCAAATATCAATGAATGTTTAGTTACTGAGGTAACTTTTAGCGTAATTTTCATTTTTTTATGGTTTCGAATGCCTACAATTTCGTTTAACAGCCGGCAGGTAACATATGCACACTAAAAATGACTGAACTTATGCACCGAAAAACATTTTTGAATTGTAGGCGTTCGAGGCCACAATAAATGAAAAGGACGCTAAAAGTTACCACTTTAATTCAATTTTAATTGATGTTTGACGGGTTGGAACTGATAAATGGGTAAAGTTCGGGGGGAAAGTTTGAAGTTTGATGGGCTGTAACAATTCCTACTTAGCATTCCTGCCCATTCGAGAAATCGTGCGAGAGTATGTTCGGCAAGGCTGCCAGATTATACAATAAAATTTAAATATTTTAGATGGATTCAAATGGGCAATATGCTGATTTTTCAGCCCCATTTGGTAACAATTAATTCTGCGGAGGGAACCATTCCCTAAACTGACATGCATTAAATAATTTTTCCCTTCATTTAAAATGTGATTCTGTCACAAAAAATTGTTTCATTCGATCAAACTTGCCTAAAACTTCACCTCATGCCTGAAATTAATTCACTTCCTCGAATAAAAAAATCGATTATTTTCAAGTCCTCTTCTCACGATCCCGTGTGTTCTCCGAAGATAAGACCAGATAACCGCAAAGCATGACCAGGTATGGATAGGTGGAATTGCATTAACTCAGGGACACCCTGTATATTTTCTTCGTGAATAACTTGAAAGACAAAATCCACTTACGTTAAGTGATATCCGATCCCGAATTTGTTCTTTAAAAACAGCGAGGAGCCGCAGCACCGCAATCGACCTTTGCTTATCACTGCTTTCCTGTCAGCTAGAATGTCTGCCTCATCCATGAAGTGAGTTGTCAGTAGAATGACCTGTTGAGCGAAGTGGCAGGAAACTTAAATTTTACAAATGATTTTGTTATGAGTGTAAACAGGGTGTAAGTACGAATATTGAAGTAGTCGATTCTTTGGGTCAAAAGAAGACGTTTTTGTGGTATATCTTTTTTTCCAAATACACTTTCCCTGGGGGCCCCATTATCCCCTTATTTTCTCCCTATCATTCCCTATTATCTCGAAAACGACGAGTGATAGCTAAATAATGCAGGAAACATTTTCTCAATATTTTTCGACATTGAATCCAGCGGTGCCGTCAAAAATCAAGTTTTGTTGCTAGAAACATTAATTTTGGCCACTTTTAGGCTTGATAACCCCATAAACCCCCCTCACGATGAGTTTTCCCTTTTTCGGAGGTTCGCAATGAAAAGAGCGCTAAAAATTACCACCAGATATCAATTTTCATTAAAATTGGTTCATGAACTTTGTCACACTCTTAAAGAGACGATTTTTTTTCTCCGAATTTGGTGGGCCGTGGCCCCCAGAGAGAGCGTTTTTGGAATAAGAGACGTCATATTACAAAAACGTCTTTTTTTGACCCGAAAAATCGACTCCTTCAATATTCGTACTTAATCCTGGGACACCCTGTATGGTTATGCAGATCATCGTATCCCTCACGATAGACTGTTACTACATTACAATGTTACAAAATTTACCCTCACAAATCGCATTTGTACCCGGGGAATCATGGGCATACCCAACCGAAAATTTCACTTTTTTTTCTTCCAATCTCGCGCAAGAATCGGGAAAATTTCGGACACAAAGTAAAACTCGGAAACTAAAACTCTCTAGAACTCATTCTCTACAAATATAGAAATTTCCTTCCAATCTGCCAAAACCGTTCAAGGCAATTTGCTGTAGAGGAATGCCGAGCTACCATTTCTCACCAGACCTTCTGAATCCCAAAATTTGTATTTATTATCATAGATGTAGGCAGACCCAGAGGACCGTTGTGCCAATTCTTATTCCTGTTCCACTATTGGTCGATCGGTTTTTAACTATTTGTCGGTTTTTAGTTATCTGCTTCTATATGAAGGAGCTGCTCTATTTTTGAATCGTCATCCAGACTTTTCGTCCCGGCGCGGCGGGTTGGGTTTCGTAGCAGTAAGGGAGAGGACCCATTGTTCTTACCTTGCCTTGACGTCGACTTTGAAGTAATGACCACATGTGCCTTCTTGAGTAGGGATCAACGCCTGCTGTAGGCTCATCGAGGATGATAATCTGTACACCAAAATTAACAAGATTTATTTTAGGAATATCATATCATTCTTTGTAAAATAAAATCATGAGAGTACTGCATAACGCCTTGGGCGCAAAGCGCTTCGAGGGTTGGACCGCGAAACGGTCAGAGGGTACGCCCCTTAATTTATTCAGAAAAAAATCGGGTCAAACAATACACGCTCAAAACACAGTAAGCGCTCACATTCTACACTTTTGAAAATTGTTGAGGGATGGGGGTACTATTGAGACATAACTTTGTGGGACCAGAACCATAAATACATAAATACATGGCATAAATACATTCAGTTGGTGTATATCATAGATTGCTTTTAAGAAATTGCACTTCCCTTGAAAATTGTCGGAATTGAATCATATTATTAAATTTCCTGAATCGGATTTTTACGCAACAGAGAGGTCGGAACTTACCTTTGGGTCTCCAATGACAGCAATTCCAACTGATAGTTTCCTTTTTTGACCACCACTTAGATACTTCGAGAAAACGTCAGCTTTTTCCATCAGATTGACGTCTTGTAAGGTTTTGTTTACTTCAAATTCAATCATGGAAGGTGCAATTCCCTAGACAGGCAACATCATACACATCATCTTTTTGAACCAAAAACTTTCCCAAAACTTATGAATCATCAGAATTAAGGAGAGGGCAACAGTTTGAATTATAGCTTTAGTCTGAAATAGAATTAACAATTCTTCAAGTCTCCTGAGTGGTTCTGAGCAAACCAGTACTCAACTGGGGGTTTCCGAAAGGGATGGAAAAAAAAAAAAAAAAAAAGTTCTCTGCGCCATCTCACGACACCTTGCATTTCTCACATTACCACCTCACTTTTTCATACACAATGTGGCATCAAAACATCGACAAAAACCCCATTTTTACCGAACGCGAGGGAAGTCAGAGAGCCTTCAATTTTGAGGTATGCAACACGGACAACCGCAGACCACGAATAGTTGTATCCAAGCCCCTGCGTTGCAATCGCCGATTGTCGCGACAACGCACAGTGCAACGATCTACAGGTCGAAGTTGGACAAGAAATCGTTGGCTACAATTTCAAGTTTTGATATTAATTCCGTCACAAATTCAATTTATAGGGGTGTTTCTGAAAGGAAATTTTACGATGAAACCAATGGTACTGCTTTTAAACTTTTTCGTTTTCTTTTTTTTTTCTTTTTAATTTGGGCTCATAAAAAAGGGTTGTTCGGCGGTATTTATAACGATCCGAAAATTTAAAATCTTCCAAAACGTTTGACATTGAATAATACTTTTATTCGGGCAAGTGACCAACTTTTTTTTAGTGTTTTAAAAAAATTAGCATTTTCTGGAGTTTATAAATTAATCGTAGCTGCTTCAATGCTGTTTCTTCGTGTTGCTATACCATCGTGTTTCTCGCAAAAGTTGACGTGGACACCATTGCTTCAAATGTAGGGTTCTGGGAGTTTTACACTCCAGAGATAGAGGAATAATATCAAGTCAAAATATTGGTGATGGAGAAATTATAATGTTTGAATCGTCCCGAAAAATTAACAACACAGTATCAATAATCTGCAGAGCACGGGATATGAATCAAAGGAAACAAGTAAATAGCTTATATAATTGTCGTTGTCTCAGAGGACTTGGGTAAAATATTTGTTCGTCTAAAAGAAAATTATGAGTGTCGCTAAGGACTGGAGGAGCTGATCTGTCCGCTTGACTTGAAATTGGAAATCGAAGTGCGGGAGCCTTCCAGAGCCCAAAACCTCGGTCCCTGGACAACTCTTTTTGGGGCAGCCCTCAGCGTAACCCCATGCTATCCCTGATCGGCTGGTCCAAGAACCGATGCTAAGCTCTGGTTGGTCCTGCTAGTTTTAGGCTTACTGGCCTTTACTTTCCCGTTACGCCCCCCCTCCCTCGCAGCGGGCTCCGACAAAGGCCCGTGCGATAAATCTGGCTTACTTGGCCTCGACACTTTTATGGCCGAAACCTTTTAATTTCGTTGCACCTGCCCCGAGTTACTTGTGTTTTCTAAGAATGACTCTTACAATTTGATCCCTGTTATATGTGCAGGTGCATTCCGTCGCGTTTTTGTATTTTGTCAGTTTAGGCGGAGTGCCTTGTTGCTCAATTTACCTTTTTAATGCTAGATTAATAGGTCACTACACGCACTGTACATCTCGGTACTGATATCGAAACTGCACTCGAATGCGATATTTTCTCTCTAAAAAACCACGCCTTTATTACCTCGAATTTCTTTGTTGAAATTGGTAAGTGAGTGCTTTAGTCTCCTGACAACAGAATGGATCACTAGACAAGGTACGAATTTAAGCATTCCGGTACATGTTTCTTAACCAAAATTTCACGTAGAACACGATTCGCGCAACGAAAATTACTGAAACCAACTCCTAACGAAGATATCAACGTTTTTGTTTCACATTGGTTACGAGGAATTTGAACTGCCCACTCACAAGAAACTCAAAGCTCTACGTGAGTCAAATCGCGCACGACAACGGTCTCAGCAAGTTTCTTAATCGAGCAATATTCATTTCCCACCATGTGTTCTTCGAACTATAGGCAATTGGCTATAGCTGAGCCAAAGCGTCAAGATTGAGGTTGCCAGATTTTTACATCGCGCAGAGACTGTCATGATAACGTTTAGCACGCGATGTGAATCACGTCGAGCATTGAGTTTTCATGAGCGGGTGGTTTGAATTCACGCATCAAGAATCATTAAATATCGTTGTGAGGAGTTGATTTCGATAATTTTCATTGTGCGCATCGTGCTCTACGTGAAATTTTGGTTACGGAACATATATCAGAGTGCTGAAATTCGTACCTTGTCTAGTGGTCCATTGTGATCTCAAAATTGGAGTAAAATCAGTACGAGTAGCTGAAGAAATGGAACCAATTTATGCGATATATCGCATGCCGTTCTGACACAAAATATGGCGTCCATCGAATCACCTCAAGAGGGCAGAATTAGAGTACCTCTATAGACAGAGTATGGCCATTTCTGTGCCGGTTTTTCATTGGTCGCGTGAAAATGGCTGACACGATGGCATTCATAGGCTGACACGATGTTCTTACGGCCGTAAATAAACAAACAAGATGGCTGTTATCAGCAGTGACAGGTGATTCAACAGTTTTTTCATGTGTTTTTTCATGCGTTATTCGTTGACATGCAAGTATAAATTGTTACTGCCGTATAATTGAAAATTTGTCAAATATTAGCTTGTTATCGATTTTACGGTGAGCCGCCATCTTGTATGTTTATTTACGGCCGTAAGAGCATCATGAAGCCTAAAAACTCGTTGACCAATCAAAAAGCGGCACAGTTTTCCTGTGAGAAAAGGATACGAATGGCCATACTCTGTCTATGAAGGTACTTTAGGCAGAATAGGAGCAACGCATATCTTTTCAACCCTTCTTCCCCACTTACTCTGATGGCGGCGAAAAATCTCAAGTGCTCCCGGGGGGTGAGAAGATCGAAGAGGATGTCGTGCTGGGGGCAGACGCCTGTCATGCGATGAATGCACGCCATTCCATGGGGGTCCCTGAAATAAAGACAACCACCTGAATGAATCCCGGATTTCGGATAGCATGCGAGGATAATCCATGATAATTGCCTCGAGTTTTCTTCAATTTACTCGGAGCTATTTCGCTATCTTGATCGATCAAGTTAAGTCTTGGGATGCCGGCAGTGGCGTGGCGTGCTTTGCGATATATCGATTAATCTGCCTTTTAAACCCATGGAAAAGGATCGATAAACAGGGTGTTCGCGGTGAACGCCTTACTAATCGATTCTTTACCATAGCTTCAAATGGGGCATTATCGATAATCGATCATTCACGCCATGCCACTGGATGCCGGAACTCAGCCGACGCAGAACGGAACGAGTTCATGGGAGGCGTCGGGCGGTCGGACAAAGTAAGGAAACTTTTAAAACTAATAACTCCGTTTAAACCAAAAATTGAGTTTTTAAAAGTGATTCCATTCCAGTGAATTTCCCGTGAAATTTTCCAGATATTGCATCCCTTAAAATTTAAAGAGGAAATAAATTGCAAAGTTGGCATTTTCTGTCAAAAATCTTTGTGACCGACCACTTTCGTTGACTCATTCGACTGTGCGACGTTCTCCCAAGATTTTAGGCGGAATTTGGAAGACCTTGAAATCTGTTCACGCAGTATTGGAGAATTGTATTAAAGATGAATGGAGCGCTGGAGACAAGGCAAAAATGGAACGCATAAGATCAGGAATGTTTCGGCCGATCGTTTGACTCTTGAATCCATTCACGGAGATATCGCGCTTTGAAAAATTCGGTTTACGACGTCATCGGAACTGTTCCTATCCTATTACATACCTTAGTTGATATTTGTCTAAATAAATGCCTTTTAATCTTATTTCATAAGATCATTGAATTTTCTGTCTTTTACATTTAAAAGTTCATAATATCGTATTATGAGGTATCGCTGAGAATACCTACACTAAAAAAAAAATATTGCTGAATTTGCCTTGCACGCGGGTATTTCATGGCGTGGTGTAGCTAAAAAACGAGCGTGCAAACCATGCAGGTAAAATCGCTGCACAAATTTCAGCTAACTTACTCACACGCGTGTAGGTGATTTTGCTCTTTGAAAAGCTACGTCTGTTACCTTTTTAGTTATTCTTCCGTAAATTTCGCTATTTTTCCGTAAATTCCGCTATTTCAGCCTAACTATTGAGCTATTTTTACTGTTCGCAAAGTACCAATACCAAAAAATGCAGTTATACTTCAAAGCCACTCGATGCAAGATTAACTGCATGAAGGCGCGCAGCTGTAGTAAATCGGTGTAGCAATTCGTGCTAGTCGTTCACTTGATTCAACACCGTGCACGGATAAGAAAGCTTTACGAAGTGAAGCAAATTTTGCTCCACCCTAAATCGGTGAATTAGCAATCCTCTTTTTTCAGTGTATGGAAAAGGAACTCTGTTACAAGGTGTATAATTCTCTCAAAGCAATAATCGAATGCGTCTATCTATTCTTTCTATTATCTATTTTGTCTATCATTGCCCAGATTTTCAATATTACCTTACGTCGTGTCCGAAAACATGTACAGTCCCACTGGAAGGACCCGTGAGGCCGGTGATAATATTTATTAGTGTTGTCTTGCCAGCTCCATTGTGGCCCAAAATTGCCGTTATTTGTCCCTCGTAAATTGATAAGTTAATACCTGGAACAATAGATAGGAATTTGAACAGGTTGCTTTGAGGATGTACCAGTGTCCATGGAGTTGTTAAAGCAAGGAAATAGTTTATAATATCTGCTTCCTCCCGACGACCTTAAGGTATTTCAAAAAAAAAAAAAATTATACCTAAAGCTGGTAACACGGCTAAAAAGAGACAAAACCAAAATGTTTCAGCAAAAAAAACTCAGTCGGAGCCTGATTCTCGCTTTGAAAGGTACACCCAGATACTATTTCAGATTTTCACCATATTTATTTTTATTTATTCAACTGAGGGAGGCTAAGTTTTCAGCCGGAACGTTTTGATTTCATTCGTGAAATTTTAGTCTTGTCACCAGCTTTTTAAATTTTTTTTCTTTATTGTATGTCTATTCTCGGGCTGCGGAGCGTCTATCATTTCTTAAATCTTAAGGTAATTCGATGGACGCTATATTTCGTGCAAGATCGACATGCGATATATCGCATCGATTGGATCCTGTTTTTCAACTACTCGTAATTTTTCTCGAATTTTGAGATCGCAATTCTGTTGTCAGGAGATTAAAGAATTCGCGTACCAATTTCAACAAACAAATTCAACGTGATATAGGCGTGGTTTTTTTTAGAGGAACAATATCGCATTCGATACTCTTATTGAAACTGCACTCGAAGCGATATTTTTCCTCTGAATACCCCACGCTTTTATTACATTGAATTTGTTCGTCAAAATTTGTATAATTTTCTTGTTTCCTGAAAACAGAATTGTGATCTCAAAATTCGAGAAAAATAACGTGCAGCTAAAAAAATAGACCCAATCGATGCGATATATCTAATGTCGCTCTGACAAATTATGGGGTCCATTAAATCACCTTAAGATTATGAAAACAACTCATTCTGACAATAAGTCTTTGATTTGTACATTGTAATCAGCCTAAAACAAAAATCCAACCAGCTTTTTCTCATATTTCTGTTCGCAGCTAAGTTTTTTTTGTCGAAACCCAAACTTACGGGCTCATATGACGGTTCAATCTGACAGTGAACAGTCATTCGTATGCGAGCAGCGTCCTGACTCATTCAGATTCAACTCTGTGTTAAAGCTGCAAATCGGAAATCATTCTGATGAAAGGCCATTCAAATGTGATCGCTGCCCTGCTTCATCCGAGAGAAAACATCATTTAAAGAGGCATTAATTGTGGTAAGACACTATTCGTTTGTAAAAATGCTATACTTCATTTAGGAAGGGTTGTAACAGCACATAAAGTTCATCCTAGTGAAAGACCATTTCATTTCGAACAATGTCCCGCTTCATTAAGATTGAAATCCCTCTGAAAATGCATACTGATGGGAAAGCTCCCAAACCACGTATCTCGTGTGCGGCGTTGAAAAATCTCCGCTCCCGTTTTATTTTTTTGGAACAGAGCAAATCAACATCATCCTTTGCGATTTTCACAAGATTTTCCTGGCATAGAGAGGAAAAATCGCAGGAGCTTTCAAGAATTGGACGTATTTCTATCAAACGGAACTATGTGCATTATATACTCTTATGGGTCTCAGGGCTCACGTCATAATGCACATAGTTCCGTTTGATAGAAATACGTCCAATTGATGTTGTGTAGTTTTTGATTCAAAAAATAAAAAGATGACGGAAAGTCTGCAACGCCGCAAATCGAGATACGTGGTTCAGGAGTTTCACCGTCGTCACTATCGATATCGGACCGACAGTGGCGGGGCGTGAATGATCGATTGTCGATATTTCCCCAATTGCAGCCACGGTAAAGAATCGATCATTACGGTGTTCGCTGCGAACACCCTGTCAATCGATCCTTTTCCATAGGTTTAAACGGCAGATCAATCGATATATCGCAAAGCATACGCCACGCCACTGCAGACTGAATCATCCTCATAAAAGTCCATTCAAGACGAAGAGTGTCTTTCCCCATTCCGATTTGAATCCTCGTTAAAACAGCACATTAAAATTCATTCTGATGAAGTCCAGCACTGCAGGTGGTATCACTTCCATATTGAAGGTGCGACAAACTCAAATGTGTGGTATAATCCGCATATTAAATGGGAAACATGCAGTATTCTCCTCCTTCCCATTTGACCCATATTTTCTCTGCACAATTTTACAACACTGCCGATCCTGTCCTTTCATTTAATCACAATATCTACGCTTGAAACTTCATTTTGATATACCACTGTCTTTACACAATAACCACTCGACCGCGTTTAGCAGAAAGAGACCAAGCCACATCAGCTGTTGCCACATTTAACTGAGCAATTCAATCGTTTACAAGAGAACCTTCACGCGGACTCCTTTGAAAAGTTGTTTAAAATTTGCTTCGCATTATGCAAAAAATTCACTGTTTCCCCAAAAATCCGCACAGATGTTTTCATGTAAAAAATTAAATTGCTTGGTTAAATTTAAGAATAGCTGATGGGTGGTTTCACGATGACTGGAATGGTTTTGTCGCGCAACAGACAACATATTTTCCGGCCATATTTTTAGTAGAAATGACGATCACTCGAATTTTTTCGCATTGATCTTCAGAGGGTTACGTATTATAACATTTTCTAATGATTTATTGCTCTACTTCTCAATTAATATTATCTAAATTCCGAAAATGTGCTGTCTGTTACGCGGTAAAAAGTCAGCGTAACGGACAGTACATTTTGGGCCATTTATATATTAAAATTGAAAAGTAGAGCGATAATCTTTGAAAAGCGTTATGAAATGTAAGCTTGCAAAAAAAATTCGAGTGGTTATCATTACTACTAAAAATATGACCGAAAAATGTGTTCTGTTGCGGCGACAAAACTATTCCAGTTATCATGAAACCACCCTGATGTGGCTTGGTTCCTCTCCGCTTAACGCTGTCCAACTATTCCTTTTCTCTCTCTCTATTTTATTATTCTGCATCAGATTCATTGAATTCAAAAAAAAAAAAATCAGCGAACATTGTAATATAATGTCTGAAAGGTAGTAGCACCAAATATAATGGTATTTGGAGTGTAGCCGAGTGCTAGACATAATGTAAACTTTTCTTTAAAAAACTTACATTTTAATAACAAACTTAGACCGAAGCTCTTCGAAGCAAACGCCTCATCGTCAGGTCGTCAGGCATCTTTTCGATCTAATAGCTCGTTATCAATTGTTACCATCAATAAAATCTGTTACCTTGTTTGAAATTAAATTATGGCCTTTGTGATATCGATTTCGTGACCCTGACGATGAAGCGTTTGCTTCGAAAAGCTTCGGTGTAAGTTTGTTAATAAAATGTAAGTTTTTTAAAGAAAATTTTACATTATTTCTAGCACTCGGCTACACTCCAAATACCATCATTGAATTTTTCTGGCGGATTTTTCAACCGTACATACATATCAAGCCGCCACCTCAGCGCACTAGAGCGCTCTGCGACTCCAAATCGCCATCGGAATCGATCCTCTCACAAATCATCGGGCAGATTACACCGTCTGATCTCCCCCTCCAACCGATTTTTCAACCGATTTTCAAAAACTTTGACTTAAGCCGACATCGGTTGGTCCAGTGGTTAGCGCAACTGATCACAGACCTAGATGTCCCGGGTTCGAATCCCGGCCTCGGTGGCAAGATTTGATGGTCTCAGATCTTGTCACCGTGGAGTGGCATGGATGTTCCTCTTCGGTTCTTCCTTCGTTTCTGCCTTTGTACTTCTGTTTCTACTGTTGTTGTAATCTTCCCATCATTTAGCGGTGGCTGTTTGTCTACACGACTAAGGCCAATGAACTATACCTAGAGTGCGCAAGCTCTCAAAAAAAAAAAAAAAAAAAAAAAAAAAAAAAAACTTTGATTTGTATGAAAGCTGAAAGTACGCCCGACCAATTCTACCTCCTTCCGTTCGGAATATTTAAAATAGACAAGGCCACTTTAAAACTCACCGTTGACGGCGTTGACGTCTTGTTTTTTGCAAGAAGTGAAACATTTGTGCAAATTGACGATTTTAATTGCCTCCCTGTCGGCGATCTCTCGGGTGACGGGCTCCACGTCCCTCGGGTCGCAGTCCTCTGACGTCGTTGTGACGTACGTCATGGAATCCGCATCAATATGTCTTTTGGACGCCTGTCCCGGAAACAAGAAAGAGTCAACTCTAATTCGTGATACCGTAAAGTCAGTGGCGCACTCTGAACATCGGTTACTCTGAAATGCACCGTTTGAAATCCTCGTGTAAAAGCTCGGTTTTTTTTATCGTTTTTTCTTTTAAATTTTTATTGTTTCCGACTGAAAATCTCGAAACATCTCGGGTTTCATTAAGTGTGTATTTTTAGCCTTGTTTCCCGTTTTTTCATCCTTGTTTTTCCACTGTTATCATTGTCTTGGGCTGCTCTTAAAAATTTGTATCTAAAAGCTCGAGTAGGTGTGATAAATTCTCCCAATTAGTTCTTTATGAAGTTCTTAGCGACGTTTAGCGATGTCGCACTCTCCGATTTTCTCACTTTTCGATATTTCCCCTTTTGAAGCTGTGGTGAATAATCGATTATTAAGGTGTTCCTTGCGAACACCCTCTATCGATCCTTTTCCATAGGTTTAAATGGCTGATCAATCGATGGATCGCAAAGCACGCCACGCCACTGTGTGAAATGCTGCCGTGCCACGGAAGAACACCTAATGGACATTTGAGAGTTGCCGAATTTCTCCAGATAAAAAATGTATTTTCGACGATATTTATGCCTATTTTTCTTCAGAATTTTCCGAGATTTTAGATTACATTGCAAAGAAAATAGTCCGACAAATTTGAAGTATAATATTTTCAAGATCTCCAATTAATTCGTATTTCATCAGGAGATATGGCAATGTCTGAAGGTTTATACGGCGTTTTTCCTTAGCCCGTCAGAATTGGTGTCGCGAGAAAGCGAACCTGAAAGTTAAAGCAATTCGTGTACTTTTTTTCGAGCAGATTTCATCTTTTTGAGCATTTGCTGAAAGAATTAAGCGGTAGAATTTATCATACTTACTTGAAAACATGATGATTCAAAATGGTGCATTTCAGAGTAACCAAAAAGACACTAGAAGGCAAAATCATCAAGATAGATCCTTCGTCCTTTTAAAGGCAAAAAATGCAAAACCTAAATTGCGACGTTGCAATTTGTTGCTCATATCCTTGATTGAAATAAAAGTAATAATTTCTTTTTTTTACATTTTCGGTGAATTTTCTTAGCTCAGAAAATGCTTCAGATAATCGGATAATGCGACATCGCTAACGTCACGTATAGCGATATATCAGTCATAACTACGTGATCTCTAGTCACTTCCGCGGTTGAAAGCACAATGAATCGGTGTATTTTTGCGTCGCTTGTAACAACAATCGACTACAATGACCCGATGAGGTCGGTCCTTTGAAGGTCCTTTTATCTTACTTCCGCTGTACTTTGATTGGGTGGTTTGCTCTCAATAAATTAGTGCATATTTGAGCGTTTGAAATACTGAAGTAGAGATACGCTTTTACTACTCTAAACGTCGATATGTAATGAGGCCTATCTCTTTCATCTTATCATTCTGAAACATTCACTTCATGTGATTCCATAAATTTTCTTCAGGGACTCCGTTCAATCTTAAAAACTCGGCTCTGTCGGTTAGAATTCGACCATCGGCATACCTCTACAAAACATTCGAGTTTTTTCCACTTAAGTGCATAATTTTGAAAATATCAAGTGAAATACACGTTTATTTTTGTACTTACTTTTGGCTTTGTGCACCAAAATGATGGGTAAAGACAGAAGAATATAGACCGCTTCGTTCCGTACTCACCTGGAATGGATAAAGGAAGAAATGGGAAGTTAGTCGGAGGTATTCATGCTGAAAGGAACTATGTACATAGGATTTGCATGTAACATAGTCCCTTTTAGCATAAGTACGTCTTGTTTTGATTGAGCTGCTCTAGACAGTAAGAAACCAAGACATTTCAAGTTAAACGAGAGAGAAAAAGAACGTTCAGAATTTTGACGTTGAAACTCCCAAACCGCGTACCTTGTTGCGGTGTTTCAAGATCTCCGCTCTGATATAATAATAATATATACCATAATATGAGGCGTATGGTTGCAAAAGCGGCAATCTCCAATGCCCTTTATACAGATCATCCGATCATTATAATTTAATATTGAAAGAACAGGAAAGTCTCCATGTTCATGTGTTTGTGTGAATTTCCTGCATTCAAACGAGAGATGGGGGAAATGTTATGACGCCAGATATTATATTTGTTCCTAAAAAAAAAAAATAATATTATCTCTATATTAATTGTTATATAAATTATAATTGCTCAATTTTTACGCTGAGTCATGGAGATTGCCGCTTTTGCAACCACGCCTCACATATATAACTTTCCTGAAAGCCTTCAGGAACACATGGAGAATCGATGTACGTCCGTATTAAGGTAATGGAGACTTTGCAAGGGTCTGAAATTTTTTAAATTCCACGTTTGAAATGAAACTACTAGAAAAACTGAGCACGAGGATATCTTTGGCTTCTAAATTGAACAGTTATTGGAGGAAATATGACGGAATAACCTGATCTGCGGGCCGATTATTGAAACTTTTAGACAAAGCGATCGACAAAGAAGACATAGGGAGTATAGAGCGATCCTATTGGTTGACATGATTGGATCTTATAGACTAAGGAAGAAAATTATGGACTAACTGTCAGGTTTCTCGTGGGTTGCCGTTAGTTAGTCCATTACCTACCTCCCATGTCCATTGCCACCACTCACTTCCACCAATAGGATCCCTCCAAATCCCTTTTGTCGTCTTTGTCTATAGCTTTGTCTATCAGTTTCAATAATCGGCCCGCTGCCAAACTATATGTATTTAAATCGAAAATGTCGCTAGACGACGTCACAAGGCGGTACATTTTCCCACTTTTAAATCTATTTTTCTCCAATTTCCCGGTTCAGAAAAAAATTATGAAAAATACTGCGAACTCAGCTTATTCAACACTTTCAGATGAAGCAAAAAAAAAAATCGTGTGCAAATTCTCCATTCCAATAATATCTTCCTGTTTTTGATAGGGTTCCAAGCCAATCTGAGAACAGGGTCTCTGGTCTCAAATTTCCATTTTTACCCCTATAAGTTTTATTTGAGTCCTCTCGTCTAGAGTCCCTTTATACTGAGAGTCAAGACAACACCCCCTCGTGGAATCACAAACGGGGATAAAGATTACACAAATTGAACGTTTTTTGTAATCTTTGATCGGCCCATTCTCGATTTCCTTTCTCCGTTCCTTCCCTCATTCCGTTTGTTCCTTGTCGAACCCGTAATTCCTCGGTCCATTCCAGATTATAATCTTTGCAATAGGGGAAAATGTAATCTTTATTCCCGTTTGTGACACTGTGGAGGCCTAAAATACGGGAACCAATCAGAAATGGATTCACATTGTCTTGACTCTCAGTATAAGGGGACTCAACTCTCGTCAAGGGAGTTTTTGTTGATAACTCAATCGATAAAAAAACAAGAAACTCACTCGGCACCACACTGTCCAAGTAATAAGCGAGGAGACCGTAAATTACGATATCTAAAGCCATCATTATCAAACTGCCTCCGAATGGAATGCCTCCGTTGCCATCTGACCACAGGTTTTCTAGGCTCACACCTTTGCCGGAAAGATCGAGGACCAGCGCCTGAAAAAAAACACAGCTTCCATTATCAATACTTTTTGGAGGTTCTTATTCGTGCCTAAAATCTGGTACTTCTTTTTAACTCGCAGGGGGCCTTTTAAGTTTTACGTAAGCTACTGAAGGATGGTGCACCGAAAAAAAAAGTTCGGTAAATCCGAACTAGTTAGGATCATATGAAACCACGATTTTGTTCGGTATACGCACAACCGAATTATTCGGTATGCTCGGCCGAACTGCTCAGTCCACTGAACCGAACTGTAAGAATTTATTATGGTTCGGTCGCACAAACCGAATAATTCGGTTGAACAGACCGAATAATTCGGTTGTGTGTTCCGAAGAAAACCTGGTTCCATATAATCCTAACTAGTTCGGATTTACCGAACTTTTTTTCCAGTGTGGGAGGGGGGGAGGTGTCTTACGCAGGAGAGATGGTTCAAACCATAGTAGGGTGAAAATGGGAATTGGAGCGCAGTAAAAAAAAACACCGCTTATACCATTGCATAACCCATAGATTGAAGGGGTAACATACCAAATAGTGCAGAAAAATATGAATTAAATTACAGTGTTGTGGGGCGGGTATTGTACAATATGGCAACGCTGTAAAAAGTTAGACAGAGTGAGTGAACAGACCGAATTTTGATAACGAACCGTGTACCTCTGTATGATAATCTTCTGAAGCGTACACGCAAAAAGAAATCGCACGTATAAGATAGTTTCCATCACCTCCAATTTCTGGAATAATTGGCTTTATTATAAAATTTAAACTTTGCACTCGTCAAACTTACTGAGCCACTTGTCTCTGGAGCCACTTGCCTAGAATGTTCAAATGAATGGTACACTTCAGCAATAAACTTTCTTAACTCAGAAAATAACGGGCACTCTCTCACACTTTCACAGAGAGAGAAAAACACAATTCCAAGTTGTTTTACATCGCGCGCTATACAACGTAAAAGTTACAAACTAGATGTATTTTCAAATGATGAGCGATGTTAAATGGAATCCTCTGGGATTTCCAAAGAGAACAAGAGGAAAATTTACAACGCTATAGTCAAAAGTATATTAACGCACGGGTGTGAAGTTTGGCAGCTGAAGAAACGGACACAGGATATGCTAAGAGCAACGGAGATGGATTTCTGGAGGAGGTCAGCAGGAATACTAGGAGAGATCGGGTCCGCAATGATAGAGTGCGTCAGATAATGGAAGTCGAAAATGACATCCTGTTCGACGTCATGACCAAACAGCTTGTCTGGTACGGTCATGTCAATGGGATGAAGGACGGAAGAAAGGCTGCCAAAAAAGATGCTTGATTGGGTTCCTCCTGGGAGGAGACGAAGGGGACGCCCAGTGAGAGGGTGGCGACAGGGGGTTTTGGATGAGATGAGGGAGTGCCAACTCCCTGATGACCTGAGGGAGGACCGAGTTTTGTGGCGGTTAGGCGTCGCGGAGCACCAGAGAGCGCTGAGAGAGCGACTTTTATGTATGTAAGTGTAGGGAGTATTTTGATATGAAATAGTTTGTTTTCCTTTTTCTATAAAATAATCATTTGTGCTCATTAATGAAAATATATAATAGCGTCTGTGTCAAATTTTCGTAAAAATATAGTAATTTATTTCTTCAATTTTATTCTAATGTTTAATCATTTTTTTTTTCTTAGAAAAACAAATGTGTTTGATCCAGAAGTATGTAAGAGTTAGTTCAGTAATAAAAGGCGTTATCATAAAAGTACTTTGGCAGGAATACATCAAATGAAAAAATGCCAGGTAAAACTCTACAGGTTAAGAAGGAAACGGTCCTTGGAAAAATTAAGAAAATTAATTTATTGAATGTAAGTACAATAACTTTTTTGTACACAACAACAACCTTAAGTAATACAATTTTTTTAACGTAAGAATGTGGCATCATTGAATTTGCTAGCATCTTCACTCATGAGAACATTCTTACGCAAGATCATGAACTTGGCCATGACATTTAAACCCCTACAATTTCAGCTCGCGGTGCATGAGCAGTGATTTTTCAGTTTAATATACAATTCCAACCCATTCAATATTTCGTTCGCGCAGTCAGAGTCTTAGATATTCGAATGTGTATGGCAAGTTGCTGAACAGGCGGAGGATTACTAACTACTCATAATTATTTTTAAAACTGCGCATCGTTGAGATTAATCAAAGACCAGCAGTCCTTTTGTCGGTAACGCCGTACTGTGCCACCACGATTAATACTTTTTGAAAAAAGTATGCTACACCAACTCCCCTTCAAACTATTTCTTTTGAGAAAATTACTCCTTTATATACTTCATGTTAGAACTCGTTGTATTACCCTGGTAAAAATTGGCAGTGGAATCTGTGCTCCAAAATACCATGGACCTACGACCTACGGCCGGCTGTAAGATTTCCAATAGCTTCTATAGCCGGCTACACAATTTCTTATAGCCTTTTATAGCCGATGGCGATTAAGCAACTCACAGCCAGGCGATAAAGTGTATGCGAAACGTCACTAATTATGGATGCTAGGACTTCGTGAGTTTTTGGACCACTACTCTCTTTTTGGGCAGTAGTTTCTTGATTTACTTTGCGAGGAAAGCTCCGTACTTTTGATGGATGCCTGCCATTCCTAATATATTAGAGCGCCTTCAGTTTCGTATGGTACTGTGCAATACCTCTTGTGTGAAAAAGTATTGCTTCAAGCGCCGTGGCACGCTGCGGTGCGGCAGGCGGGCAGCCAGCGCCAAACGCGCATTGGCGCCTACAAACCTAACAGGGATACTTCACGCGTTGCGCAATGCGTGAAGTATCCCTGTTAGGTTTGTAGGCGCCAGTGCGTCGCCGCTCCGCTTTGTGTTAGGCTCTAATATTTAAGGCTGATTCCAGTTTTTTCTTGGTAAAATAACCATTTATGGAATTGGTAATTTTACCGAGGAATCCCGGTAAAATTATTGAACTTTCTCGGTAATTTTACTGGACCTTGGTAAAAATGCCAATATTTTTTATCGACCGTGGTAGAATTACCGAGATAAAATGGCAAAGTTACCGGGCATTGATTACTAATAAAAGTGGTATTCTTACCTGAAAAAACAGTAAAAATACCGGTTTTAGGTAAACTTACCAGTCTGTATTGGTGAAATTACCAATAATTGGTAAAAGAAGTGAGATGGTAAAGGTACCAACGCTAATTGGTACTTGGTAAAAACGCCGAGAATTTTTTTTCAGTGTATAGGTTACTTTGATATGGAGCCTCAGCGACGAAGTTCCTGCGTTTGTAAAGGGTTTTTTATTAACTACGGAATTTTTCTCACCTTGTCAAGGGCCAGCGCAAATCCCGATGAGCTTATCAGAGAAACGAGCCATAGCGTGATTGAACTTGATTCTTTCACGAAGACCTGGATGAAATAAAGTAAGCTCACCATGTTCACGACGAAGTTGCCCAAAATGCCGGCTGTCTAGAGAAAAGGATAATATCATCAGTAGGTAAAATTGTTCAATGCTACAATTCAAAGTTTTTCCGTACTGTCCTGTTGTTTTTTTCTGGCAGTGCGACAAACACAACTGACGCTTACATCGATAGAAAAAAACTTACATTTTCAAGAAAATTTTCAGTTTAGGAAGAGTGAAAATTTCGGACCCCTGTGAATTCTCGCAGTACGAGTTATCGAACTTCAACTTTATAGTGTAATATAGGTTAACTATTGACGGAACTGATGGCTGTAGACGTGAATATTTAATAAATGCATATGAATACATTCCATTTATTTCCCGAATCTGAGCGACACCTCATCCGCAGAATAGAGCTGAGCATCGCGAGGTCACACCTTACGCCAGCGTGCCTTCAATTTTGTTAATGCAACACGGACTTCCGTCAAGCACGAATAGTTGTATCTCTGCGCCGCGTCATCAACGCACGTGCTTTATTCCCTTGCCCTATTTCTATATTTTTTTGTAACAAAGTTAATGGATGTAGAATCGAGAAAAATTAAGGCAGCACTTTTTTTTCTCTTTTTTTCTGCTGTTTACTGGCTCTGTGTCTAAGCACCTGCAGCCAACTTTAGACTAGTGTGTATCTATCGAATAGGTTATACGTGATTAGGAACCGACTTTAAAGGTGAAGGCAGAACTTTAAGGCAGTCTACCTTGTCAATTCCCTTTGATTNGGGGGGGGGGGGGGGGGCACGGAAAGCCTTGGAAGTTTGAATTTGGATGGATTAGATAGTCTTTGAAATTCCAAAATGTTTACCCCAGGTGCTTAAAGTTCACGCCATTGCCCTGAATACTGCAGGGCAGAGGTTAAATTCAAATTCTGTTCATAATAATACGTTATTAGCTTCCGGCAGTTTTGCAGGAACATTTCATGCAGGAGTCTTTCGATAAATTGGCTGAGAATGGGTGGTAAAACGGTCATCAACTCTGTCCCTTGATCTGGTCGCAAGTAGTAGAGATACGAGAGAATAGGAAGCGAAGCGCGATTCGTCATAACGAATCTTTGTTCACATTCCAGAGAGCAAAAAACGTGAATTCTGACGGTAAATGAGCGAAATGGACCACTAGATAAGGTACGAATTTCAGCATTCTGATACATGTTTCTTAACCAAAATTTTACGTAAAACACGATGCACACAACGAAAATTACCGAAATTAACTCCTTACGAAGATATTTAATGATTCTTAATGCGTGAATTCAGACCACCCGCTCATGAAAACTCAATGCTCTACGTGATTCACATCGCGGCTAAACGTTATCATGACAGTCTCTGCGATATAGAAATCTGGCAACCTCAATCTTGACACTTTGGCTCAGTTGTAGCAAAGTGCTAATAGTTTGAACAACACATGATGGGAAATGAACATTGCTCGATTGAGAAGCTTGCTGAAACCGTTGTAGTGGGCGATTTGACTCACGTACAGTTTTGAGTTTCTTGTGAGCGGGCAGTTCAAATTCCTCGTAACCAATGTGAAATAAAAACGTTAATATCTTCGTTAGGAGTTGGTTTCCGTAATTTTCGTTGTGTGAATCGTTTTCTACGTGAAATTCTGCTTAAGAGACATGTATCAGATCGCTTAAATTCGTACCTTGTCTAGTGGTCCATTGTAATAGGTGTGTTTCATGTGCGTCTGCGTTAGTGACTACAGTACCTGCAGCCGCGGATTGTTGAAACTTTAACTGGCTATGTCGGCACGATAAGACAAGACATAGCCCTATCTGCATCGTGTAATGTATCGATTTTCGATTCTTGTCGTGCCGACATAAATTTCAACAATCAGGCTGCAGAGTATAGCGAGAGTATGTACAGGTGCCTTCGCGAACGAAGTTAGGGCTCAACAGCGCAGCCAACCTATGTATTCAAGTGATCCAGAACGATTAGTTATCATAATTGTTACGACGGACGTGTCGTTTGCAAAGCATGCATGTAAATTTGTTTTTGCATAAATTTGCTCATTTTTGCGGAAGAACGCACATTTATGAACATTTCTGGCCATCTTGGTTTGAATTAGAATCTGAAGATTGGCAGTGAAATTCTAGGGTTTTTTCAATAAAATTTATAAAAATAAATTTATTCAAATAAATTTATAGCTGTCCATACTCTCGCTACACACTGGTATTTCACGCGCATTCACAGAGGAGCGAGTGCGTTTTCATGAGAGCATCATCAGGCAACGCGTTGCGCCGTCGCACAATGGATCAAGTCTGAGGGTGAGGTCGGACATAAGTTCTTTGAGTATAAAACTGCAATTTTTCACGTTTAATCCGTCCAATTTCAAATTTTGAGGGGTGCTTCTTGAAGAAAATTTTACGAGAAAATCAATGGGAACGTTTTTAAGACCTCAAAAGGTTGTAATGGCAAAGTTTTAAGCTTTTGGAGTTTCAAAAGATTGTCCAACTTCTCCCATTGACTTGATCCTCTGTGCGTCGTTAAGAAGTCACCAGAGACAATACAGGACTCTACGGAAAACTATATTCGTCGATAGTACTTTCGGGACGGCCCACGGCCCACGGTGGATCTAGTCATTTAGAGAGGTCGGACATGAAATTTTTGACTGAAACTGCAAATTTTGATATTTATTTCGTCACATTTTAAATTTCAAAGAGTGCCTCTGGTAGAAAATTCTACGAGAAAACCAATACAACCACTTTGAGAACTTCAAAGTTTCGAATTAACGGAGATATAAGCGTTTAAAGTTTCCAAATTTTGTCCGACCTCTCCTATTGACTCGATCCACTGTGCGGCCCCTTATATACGATAGATTGTGCCATAAATACCATAAACTCATCAGTTATAAGGAAACAAAAAATGCATCACTTACTCTAGCCTTGTCGAAGAGAGGCGTCAGCATGAAGCTAAACATGATGATTGAGAAGGAGTAGAGCAAGATGAGAAGGAAAATGAGCAAGGGGCTCGTGTGCTGGAAAACGTTGAGAGAGAAAAGAAGTACCACGCTGATCACTGACAGAGCCGAAACGAATACGGCGTATATAATGAACCAAGACAACCTGTAGCAGAAAGATGAACAGAGAAATCAGGGAACCGCGTAAACCTCATCACCGAAGTCTCGGAGGAATCGTCTTCACTAATGTGTATACAATACTAGCCGTGATCCCCGGTTCCTCGCCTCGCGATGAACCTGCGACTCGCTCCGCGAGCCACCCTCATAGCTGTTAACTTTTAAAGTAATAATAATAATAATGAGAAGATAACATCTTCGCCACTTTGGCCACGGCCGCCATCTTGGATTTTGGAATTTGAAAATGTGACCAAAAATTCTAGTTTCCAGTCGAAATATACCTCCTGACACCGAATTTCACGAAAATTGGTGGAACAGGAGCCGATGTAGCATTTTAGGCCACGACCGTCATTCACTTCATTCATCTTGCAGGGAAAGAACGGGATTGAAGAATGGATGAGTCCCCGAAGCCAGGCCCAAGCGGCGTCTCGGAAAGCCAGCAGGATAAAGGCACGATTAACTTAACGACATTATTGCACTTGAATCGCAGAATCTGTTTGTAGGTATAACGGGGAAGCAGGAATAATACACGTTCGCATTCGAAAATCACACATTTTCCTGTAAGTAAAATTCGTTTTAGGTTTGTTCATACATTTGTCGCGTGGAAGGTTATCAGAAAATTTCGATTACATTATTCGCAACATGTTTTAACTTCGATTATCTCGTCAAAATAGTTTCAAGCAATGGACCACTAGATAAGGTACGAATTTCAGCATTCTGATACATATTTCTTAACCAAAATTTTACGTAAAACACGATGCACACAACGAAAATTACCGAAATTAACTCCTTACGAAGATATTTAATGATTCTTAATGCGTGAATTCAAACCACCCGCTCTGAAAACACAATGCTCTACGTGATTCACATCGCGCGCTAAACATTATCATGACAGTCTCTGCGATATAAAAATCTGGCAACCTTAATCTTGACGCTTTGGCTCAGTTATAGCAAATTGCTAATAGTTTGAACAACACATGATGGGAAATGAACATTGCTCGATTGAGAAGCTTGCTGAAACCGTTTGTAGTGGGCGATTTGACTCACGTAGAGTTTTGAGTTTCTTGTGAGCGGGCAGTTCAAATTCCTCGTAACCAATGTGAAATAAAAACGTTAATATCTTCGTTAAGAGTTGGTTTCCGTAATTTTCGTTGTGTGAATCGTTTTCCACGTGAAATTCTGGTCAAGAAACATGTATCAGATCGCTTAAATTCGTACCTTGTCTAGTGGTCCATTGCATAGTATGTAATTCTAATTTTAATTTTAATTGGAATTTGGCAACAATAGTCGTAGATGAGGAAAACAACACTTTTTCCCGGGATTTCTTATAATCTCGACACGAAGAAGAAGACAAAATATTAGTTGGAAGTAGACGACGTATTCGAGATTCACGTAGGTAACCGACTCATTGGCGTAACCCGGTTACTTTTGTGAACATTTGGTTCTGCCTTACCATGTCTGCCGCTGCTTTTTGTTTTTTTCCATGACAGTGAAGGGTTTAGGTACCTTATTTCCTTCGTGTTGGTGTTATGGATCTGTAGGGTACGACTGAGAGATTGAGGTAAGTTATGAATATATCGCGATAAAAAGGGTTGTATTGGGAATGTTGATTAATTGATCCATCTTTGATTAGACGACGTCTCATTGCAGGACGATGTAACACATCGAAAATTTGCATGGGAATCATGGAGAAGCCAGGAAATGTATCCGTGTGTCCCATTATTTCTGATGGAACGTCGTGTACTTAATGATGATTGTGCTCTGTTCGCAGATACCGATGGATGCTGCTCGTCCGGAGCATGCAAGCCCTGCAGAATGCGGGAATACCACGAAAGAATACGTCCAACTGTAAGTTTGAATTCTTTTTCATCATTATCATCAGTCGGTTAGTTCAGTGACGTTACTACTCTTTTAACGGAAATAATGGATGGTAGATAGGTATACTTCTTCCAAATGTGTACCTCTCAATTCCTAATCATACACGGTGAAATATAAGAGATTGCACGTGGTAATTTTTGAAGAATACTGGACAGTAGTTGAATTACGTACCTACCTATGTGTTAGCCGTGTCAAGTCTCTAGTCTCATTCTGTCTTACCTACTTAGCACAATGTGTGCAAGGCTCCTAGATGACTTGAACAGACGAGTCGAAAGTTCCGAATCGCATAAGCGTCTTATGAGCCATAGAGATTTCAGAGCGGTGATACTTATGATGCGAAATGACGGGTGGGAACGCTCAATATTCTCGGAAAGTATAATACAGCTTTCATGGCGAGGTGTCTCCGATTTAACTCGAGGCATTCTTTCGTGTATGTCACTGTTGACTCTGTGTAGCTTACCTACACGATGACAGATTCATTTTTGGGCAAGAAGGAATGATTGCAAAACATGCTCTCCACTGAGTGCTCGACGAGGCCTTGTATCTCGACGTTGTCGCTGACATTATTTCAAGGCAACGGATGCCGAGGAATGCTTCCATTAGTTCCACCAATGAATCATCTCAAGGGATCTTTCCGTACAAGAGCTTGTCAAACTTCTCTCACATTTATTTGCTCTCTAACTGTTCCGCGGTTGGTAACTGTCTTGACAGGATTCTTCTGTGATTATTTTTAGCTGAAAGTATGCATCGAATGCGGTTATAAGGAACAAAGGCAAAAGGGGACCAGAACCTTCCGGCCGAGTAAAACAGAACCTGGAAAATATGAGTGCAACAACTGCAACACCAAACAAGCAGTGAACTCCAACACAATGTGTTGATAAGGCGCGTCATTAACTCGCACAT